GGTGCCAGTTACAAAACTGTGTAGTTAAGGTAACAAACTAGGGTGGAAATGGCCCACCTTGATTATCATACACATTGTAAGGAGAGTGGTCACTTTAGATAAGCTATTACCAGCAGGAGAGTGGGGTGGGAGGAGGTATTTTTTCATGCTTTGTGCGTATAAAAAGATCTTCTACACTTTTCACAGTATGCATCTGATGAAGTGAGCTGTAGCTCACGAAAGCTTATGCTCAAATAAATTGGTTAGTCTCTAAGGTGCCACAAGTACTCCTATTCTTTTTGAGAATTATAATGGAAACCTAAAAGAAGAGGAGTACTTGTGGCACCTTAGAGACTAACCAATTTATTTGAGCATAAGCTTTCGTGGACTAAAACCCACTTCATCGGATGCATGCAGTGGAAAATACAGTAGGAAGATATACACAGAGACTGTGAAACAATGGGTGTTATCCTATGCACTATAATGAGAGTGATCAGTTAAGGTGAGCTATTACCAGCAGGAGGGGGGGGGAACCTTTTTGTAGTGATAATGAAGATGGGCCATTTCCAGCAGTTGACAAGAACATGAGGAAGGGGGTGGGAAATAAACATGGGGAAATAGTTTTACTTTGTGTAATGACACATCCACTCGGTCTTTACTCAAGCCTAATTTAATGGTGTCCAGTTTGCAAATTAATTCCAATTCAGCAGTCTCTTGCTGGAGTCTGTTTGTGAAGTTTTTTTGTTGTAATAATGCGACTTTTAGGTCTGTAATCGAGTGACCAGGGAGACTGAAGTGTTCTCCAAGCCAGGAACCTATCCTTGCAACAAGGCCCGTTGCCAGCTGTGTCCACATATCTATTCAGGGGACACCATCATAGGATCTAATCACATCAGCCACACTATCAGAGGCTCATTCACCTGCACATCTACCAATGTGATATATGCCATCATGTGCCAGCAATGCCCCTCTGCCATGTACATTGGCCAAACTGGACAGTCTCTACATAAAAGAATAAATGGACACAAATCAGACATCAAGAATTATAACATTCAAAAAACCAGTCGGAGAACGCTTCAATCTCCCTGGTCACTCAATTACAGACCTAAAATTTGCAATTCTTCAACAAAAAAACTTCAAAAACAGGCTCCAGCGAGAGACTGTTGAATTGGAATTAATTTGCAAACTGGACACCATTAATTTAGGCTTGAATAAAGACTGGGAGTGGATGTGTCATTAAACATGGGGAAATAGTTTTACTTTGTGTATTTCCCCCCCACCCACACTGTTCCTCACACATTCTTGTCAACTGCTGGAAATGGCCCATCTTGATTATCACTACAAAAGGTTTTTTTTTCTCTCTCCTGTTGGTAATAGCTCACTTTAACTGATCACTCTTGTTATAGTGCGTAGTTTCTTCTACCATTGTTTCATGTTCTCTGTGTGTGTGTGTGTGTGTGTGTGTGTGTATAAAAGATATCTTCCTACTGTATTTTCCACTGCATGCATCCGATGAAGTGGGTTTTAGTCCGCAAAAGCTTATGCTCAAATACATTTTTTAGTCTCTAAGGTGCCACAAGTCCTCCTGTTCTTTTTGCGAATACAGACTAACACGGCTGCTACTCTGAAACCTGTCATTATAAACCTGTTTCCTTTGCATGCTGATAACTTTTCTAAACATTTCACCATTCTGGGCTTGAAATTTCCATTTTAGTCTGTGCTCTAAGAGAGAGGGGTGGGTGGGTGTAACTGGGGAAAAAACCCTTCATTCATTTGGGTCATGGGATGAAGTTTGGACCTTATGCTGGGCAGAGTTCCCAATGAGGTCTTTGCTTTGTTTGGGCTGGGGATTTGAAAATATAAAGTTTTTTATATTGACTGAAAAATGTATATGTGGTGAGAGGTGAGCATATGCTGATGAAACCATGGTCTCTCTGTAATTCCACTAAGCATTCTCTCTGACCAGGATACTTGGAGGCTTCTGCTGTCAGCCTAAAATTTACATAAGGGAGTTCACGTCTCCTTGAAATATGCACGCACAATCCTTTTAAAAATAATAATTAACCAGATCCCACATTTAAAGGTCTCTCCGAAATTTTTGCAGATTATAATCTTTCATTTAAAAAAATGCTGCACCTGTTATGCGGATAAATAGAAGACTTTGGGCTTCAGCATTCTGTAGCATTGCATTCACAGAGGCTTCAGTGGAGGAGAGGATTAAATAGTCACCAAATTCATCCACATCTTGAAAAAGAAAAAGAACAGATAGACTGACTGACTGAACATTGCATGTTTAGTCTGGGATCCAAAGCTCTTTATGGTCACTCTGCAGCTGTGTTTATGTTCATTTGATTCCGGGTTAGAATGCAGTTGTCATGCTGCACTGACACAAGGGCTGTCAGTCCCTTGCATGCCATATCCTTTCAGGCAGCTACTTTCAATGACTTCTCCTTGGTGTGCTCCAGAATATTTGTCAGGTCTACCCCAGTGCTTCCAGAGGGATACTACAGGAACTGAATCTTCAGTTTATGGGGTTATTCTGGCATTGAGAAGGGCCTTGCTGCAAAGTGCCTCAGCAAATCTGCATGAACGTTATAGCAAGGAGAGAAGAAATGAAAGCACAGTCACAATTTCCCCTTACCCCCAGATAAGGTCTCATAATTCACAGTCTATTCTGGTCAATTTCATGGCCATAGGATTTGAAAATTAGTTAATTGCATGGTTTAAGATGCTTACATCTGAAATTTCAGGGTGTTGTAACCATGGGGGTCCTGACCCAAAAGAGGGTCATGGGGTGGAGGGTGTCCAAAAGCTGTTGTAGAGGGGTCGCGGGATTGCCACCATCACTTCTCTGCTGCCTTCAGATGTGGAATCTCAAGGCAGCCTCCTCCCCCCTCCCCCCCCTGAGTTTCCTGTGGCCACAGGAAGTTGCTGGAGGTTTAAGTGGGTCTGATCTCCCCCGTGCTGGGAGCACCCCAGCCAAGAGTTCCTAGCTGCTAGCCCCAGCTAGGGTGAGTTGGGACAGGACTTGCTCTTCCCCTGCGTGGCCGCTCTCTGGAGGAGATCAGACCTACCTGCACCTCTGGCAACCTCTTGGGCTGCTGCCTAATCCCAGAGCTTTCTGCAGCTTCAGGAAGTACCTGGAGATGGGTCTGATCTCCCTCAAAGTGCGGCCATGCTGGGGAAGAGCAAGTCCTGTCCCTCCCCAGCCCAGCTGGGATTAGCAGCTAGGAGCCCCTGGCTGGGGCACTCCCAGCAGCATTGGGAAGATCAGACCCACTTCCGGCAACTTTCTGCAGCTTGGGTAGGTATCCAGAGGTGGGTCTGATCTCCTCCTCCCTGGAGTGGCTGTGCAGGGGAAGAGTAAGTCCCATCCCTTCCCAGCCCAGAGGGGACTAGCAGCTGGAGCAGGGGGCATGGTAGGAACCCTTCACTTGGCACACACCCCAGCCCTGTCCCTCCCTTACAATAGCTAGATTTCACAGGGGAGGTCTGATTTCATGGTCCGTGACACTTTTTCCACAGCCGTGAATTTGGTAGGGCCCTACTCATAACACAGAGATTAAGAACTGCTGCATAGCAACTTTGAAACAACAGGACTGGGGCTTTTGTAGAGGACAATCCTTCTACTTCCCATGCTGGGACTCAGCAAAACTATTTTTATGTGTACCTCTGTAAGAAAACTACCAAGGAGGAAGAATGCCCTTGTAGTTAAAGCATAGGACTGGAACTCAGAAGAACTGGGTTCATGTCTTTGTTTTGCCATGGCCTTCCTGTATGACCTTGGGTGAGTTATTTAGGCCTAACGTTTAAAAAAGGTGACATGAATTTTTGGTATCTCTTGTTTTGGGTATCCAAACCTTAAAGGAACATAATTTTCAAAAAGTATTGACTGAGTAGCCACCATTCACCTGGACATCTGCAATCACTGATTACTTTTGAAAAATTAAGTTTTAGCCTCTCTGTGCTTCCGTTCCCATCTGTAAAACTGGGATAATGATCCCTTTGGACGTGGGGGTATTGTCTTTGTGGTCGTGCAGTTACATCCTCAATGTCAGCAAATATTTGGTTTTCACACATGCCCACTGACAATGTCACTGTCATAGGAAGTTTGCTGTGTAGTGTCCCATAACTTGTTTCCTTGCTTTTTAGGATTTGAATTGGGGGAAAATATTGCAGTTATCCCTAATACCCTTTTTTTATATACAAGGATTTTTGTCTACAGAATCTTAAACAAATGATAGAGCACTCTTCGTTTCTGTGGTTCTTTAGAGATTAAAAAGACCCCAAAAGTTTTAAAGTAACCTAGGACATGAAGATAGACAATTAACTTTCTCTCTTAGGCTATAAGATGGGGATATTGATATTTACTTGTATTGCAGGAGTGTTGTGCAGATGAATTAATGACTACAGAGCACTCTGAAAATATAATGCTGTCTATAATGTTAAGTATTATGATTTAGTTTCTGTTGCTTGCTGTAACCCGTTACTCTTCCTGAGTCTTCCCTAGTATTCGGTCTAAAAAGAAAGTTTTGCGGTATTTTTGTTTTGTTTTGTTTTTTCTGGGTTGTATGCCCCCAAAGAGGCTTTCAGAAGTTTGTCATCTCCTCTTAATTTGTTTCTCTTGATGGTAGAGGTATGAACCTGAAAGCATTAATATCATGAACCAAGAGACCTTCTTATGTTAAATGGGCAGGTGACTCTGTTTTGAGAGAATCCAGCGTGTCCTATTATAAGATGCTCATGTTCAAACATTCAGAAGTTCTTAACTGCTGAGTTCAAGAGTGCTGATCATAACATGCTAGTTTTTGAAAGCTGCTTCTTGGGAAGAATCGATTAGCCAGTGTCTACATTGTCACTTGGTATTCAGGTGTCACTTGATGCTTGTCACTTGTCTTATTACATGATACTTGACCTGCTTGTGTTCCAGAAAAGGCTGGTGCATTCTCCCTGATCAAACTGGGCCTACTTAATTGTACATACCTCTCTCTTTCTCTCTCTGCCCTGTCCTATGGATACAGATGGAGACAGCTATGACCTTGTTAACGATGTGTCTAGCCCAGCAACAGGGGACTACCATTCTCAGCAAAGATCTGCCAGACACAACTGGGAAATGAACTACCAAGAGGCAGCAATCTACCTCCAGGTGAGGCCTGCTATTCAGTGTTGTGGTAGAAGTATCCACCCTGTGGTTTGAAATTGCTCATCAAGGGCTTGTGAACAGGGGAGTAACCCTTTGATGTGTAAATTGGTAACATGGACTTTTAAATCATGATCATTATTAAATATAGAAAACTGCATTTGTGAAGTTTCCTGGTTGCAGGGTTGATTCTCTAAATGGGAGTGTCTCCTTACTGTTAGAAAAAAAAGATGAGGACTTGGGAGATTTAGGTTCTATTCCTAACTGTGCCAGACTCACTGTGTGATCTTGAGCAAATCATTCAAGTCTAATGTGAACTCATGTTTATAATGGAAGTTCACTGAGTTAATACATTGTCTGATTATGGCACATACAGTAGGCTAAGCCCTCCAGATCGAAGAATTATTCTTGTTGCTGTCTTGACCAATTACCATGTTGATGATGTCCTTGAAATGAAGTAGACATAACTTAAATAGCACTCAGATTGTTTATCCAAATTAGCAGCTTCAGGCTAGAGTTTGCTATCTGAATAGGAGGGCTTAGCTGCCCAAGAATGTCTTGAATTGCATCCGATGAAGTGAGCTGTAGCTCACGAACGCTTATGCTCAAATAAATTGGTTAGTCTCTAAGGTGCCACAAGTACTCCTTTTCTTTTTGCGAATACAGACTAACATGGCTGCTACTCTGAAACTTGAATTGGTTAGTTACCAAAAGACAAAATTTGGCTCTTTTTTTCATTCTGTAAGTTTGTTTGGGTCACGCCTGGATAAGAATGCCCTACTGATGTAAAGCTAGCTCTGTCTCTGAGTGGGAGCTTGAGTTTAATCTGGGTTAGGTTTTTTCTGTCCTGTTTGCAATGTGGATCACCGAACTGACTGTTAAACAGAACATAAGCTTGAACTTAACTATTGAGAATTGGCTCTTTTCTTGTGAGATGATTAAATGGAACAAAGTTGTTACATAAGAATGGCCATACTGGGTCAGACCAAATGTCTGTCTAGCCCAGTATCCTGTCTTCTGTCAGTGGCCAATGCCAGGTGCCCCAGAGGGAATGAACAGAACAGGTAATCATCAAGTGATCCATTCCTGTCGCCCATTCCCAGCTTCTGGCAAACAGAGGCTAGGGACACAATCCCTGCCAATCCTGGCTAATTGCTGGACCTATCATCCATGAGTTTGTCTATTTCTGTTTAGAACCCTGTTACAGTCTTGGCCTTCACAACATCCTCTGGTACAGAGTTCCACAGGTTGACTGTGCGTTGTGTGAAGAAATACCTCCTTTTGTTAGTTTTAAACCTGATGCCTGTTAATTTCATTTGGTGACCCCTAGTTCTTGTGTTTATGAGAAGGAGTAAATAATACTTCCTTATTTACTTTCTCCACACCAGTCAAGATTATGTAGACCTCAGTCATATCCTCCCTTAGTCATCTCTTTTCCAAGCTGAAAAGTCCTAGTCTTGTTAATCTCTCCTCATATGGCAGCCATTCCATATCCCTAATAATTTTTGTTGCCCTTTTCTGCACCTTTTCCAATTCCATTATATCTTTTTTGAGATGGGGCAACCACATCTGCACACAGTATTCAAGGTGTGGGCGTACCATGAATTTATATAGAGGCAATATGATATTTTCTGTCTTATTCACTATCCCTTTCTTGATGATACCCAACATTCTGTTCGCTTTTTTGACTGCCGCTGCACATTGAGTGGATGTTTTCCTGAACTATCCACAATGACTCCAAGATCTCTTTCTTGAGTGGTAACAGCTAATTTAGACCCCATCTTTTTATATGTATAGTTGGGATTGTTAGCTCACATTTATAGTGTGGATCACCTCTTAATGGAAAAACTGTCTTGTGGACCTGACCTCACTTCCCACTCTTGACCACAAGTACCAGCCTCCCATCCATAATTGCTTAATATCCTCATAGTAACTGCAGCAATTGCTTGCCTTACCTAGAAATGTAATGTTAGAGATGTACTTAACTGTCCCAGTTGGAAAAAACTAGCCAGCACCAAGTGACATCTTCAGACGAACCAGCAAGTGCTCTGCAGGTCACCACTGGTCCACAGTGAGAACCTCTAGCTTAAACAATAGAAGTGGCTGTTTGATGGTCCTATATTGAAAAACTGAGACCTATTTAAACGTAAGCTCATTGGTACCAGAGCAGTCTTTTCCTTACGAGCTAAAGTAGTAGTAAAGCTACTGCTCTAAATCATTTGCAAGCAAACTGTTGGAGTGTTGAGCATTTATGCTCAAATAAATTGGTTAGTCTCTAAGGTACCACAAGTACTCCTTTTCTTTTTGTGAATACAGACTAACATGGCTGCTACTGTGAAACCTGAACTTTAATGTTAAGATCCTGAAGCAAGAGGGAATGACACATCAGCATATAGACTGCCTTAATTTTTCATGATCTCCAGCTTCCCACATTCCTTTCCAGAATGTACTGGACAGTATTTGTGTTCTACAAAAGGATGTTCCTTGCACAGTCATTTTGCAAGGTCAAGATAAGAAACCATGACTGTTAAGCTCAGGGCCAGCTGGTTATCTGAGTTCTTTAGAGTTCTGTCATGGAGAAGTTGATCAGTTTGATGTGGGAAGTCACAAATGTGGAAATAATTAAAAATAAACAACATCCCAGAGTTTTTCAAGTGCTAGCTAAATTTCTTTGGCTATTCTGCAAAATGACCTGGGCACTTCCTTTTCCTAAGAAACTAATAGCTTTCTAAGTTGGAAGCTCATAGCTGTTAATGTAATCTGTACTACTGAAATATACACACAGAAAAAAGTGGGTTTGCTTTGTGTATAATATATGCCATGTCACCTAGTGGTTAGAGCATTGCCTCGGGATCCAGAGCTTCTGAGTTCTAGTCCTATTTCTGCCACTTGGAGAAGACACTTAACCACTCAATGAATCAGCTTACCAGTCTGTAAAATGGGAATAACACTACTTCCCCCACAGGGCAGTTATGAAACTAACTTGATGTATGTAAGATCAGATGGAAGGTGCTCTTGTAGTGTAAAACATTACTAATGTTGCTATTATTTTCTATAGGAAGGAGAAAACAATGATAAATTCCTCACCCACCCCAAGAATGCCAAAGCGCTGGCTGCCTACCTCTTTGTACACAATCACCTTTTCTACCTAATGGAGCTGACCACGGCACTGCTGCTCCTGCTGCTGTCCCTCTGCGAGGCCCCTGCTGTCCCCATTCTTCGCCTTGGCATCTATGTATGTAGTTCAGTCACAGAATGATGATGTGAGTGGATGGGCACAGAGAAAGAAGGCAGCAGCACCAGAAATACTATGTGGTTTGTTTAAGGGCATGGGGGGAGCAGAAGCAGTGTTGTTTTCACTGGATGTGGAGAGATCAGGCTCCCTCAGGTCAACAATCAAGACACGACATATGTATGATGCTTTTAAGAGTCACCATCATCCCAGACCTATACTACCCATGATGTATTCAAACTGAATCATTAGCAGCTCTTAGAATGCGAACATTTCAGATCCTTGTCCCCTGGCATGTTTGAGAATAGCGTTCTAATCCCAGCTCTTGCTCAGATTCCTCCTGTGATGTGGACAAGTAGCTGAAGCTCTGTGCCTCAGTTTCCCAAGGTTTATAATGGATATAAAGATATTTACCTTGCTTCTCCGTATTTGTGAGAATTAATTTTAAAGTGCTTTGAAGCTTTATGGTTAGATTTTTTTCAAAGGCCCAGCCTCCCTTTCTGTGAGTGTAGTGTGTTTGCAAAAATGAATTATGAGTGCAAATCAGAGGGTTTGTGTCACTACCTCTTTGTGGCTACAGATCAGATAGTGAGAAGTGCAAGCACTCTGATTTGTGAGTGCAGCTTGCACCTGCAAACAGAGAAGCTGACCCTAATAATTAAGTGCTAAGGGTTATTACCATGGTTGTTCAGGGTTCTATTTCTGATCATCCATTACTTTTTCATATATGCAAGCTCTTTTTCCATCCAGCTCTTATTCCCGTACTGCATTGTGGGGTATATGCAGACTTGGATCTTTCAAAAAGAGCCATTTCTGAGTTACAGATTTGCAAAAAGTGTACTGAGGTAATTACATGGAAATAAATACTTACCATACATCAGTTGCTCATCAAAAATTGCAAAATCGTTTTCACTGAATGTTTTATCACACATTGTTTCTGGGATAAAACCAAAAAATAAAATTTCAATCAAAAGTAAGCCTTTTTAGAGAAAGTGCTAAGTGATGTGAGGCTGGATTTTTCCAGTGCTCAGCAGCTGTTGTCAATTAATGCTGAACATTAATTTAACCCTTAGAATATTAGTGCCAGGCTAACTTTAAGAATATTTAAGAATGTTTAAAAGACAGAGGACTGTTTGTTCTGATGTTTTCAATATATATTCAGGTCTTCTATCTCTGTAGGAAAAGCCTGACTGCTACAAAGCAGAGGTTTGTTACAGAAGCCACAAGCTTCTTGAGACGGAAGGGTAAAACCCTGGTTTCTGGAACCAGTGAAAATGAGAGGTTAAATTTATTGGTGGTCTGATTGCAGATCCACGCCACTCTGGAGCTCTTTGCATTAGTGGTTGTGGTCTTTGAACTTTCTATGAAGATGAGATGGATGGGCTTCTACACCTATATCAGACACAAAAGAACCATGGTTAAGGTAAGCTGCCTGCCCCACTGCCTGTCTTTTTCTTCAGTATTCTTTCTCCTTCAATGTCTTCTGTAACCACAGAACCAGAAGAAATATTGGGCTATTAAATATAGGGCATTTATTGAGTTGTCTCCCAACTTCCATCTGATATTACGTGAGCTATTGTCCATGTCTGAATTTTGGGGTTCTTTTCACTTCCTTAAAATCTTTTTCCCTGGTTTTTAGTCACAAAACACTGGAACACAACTGGTATCCATGTGTACTGTCTATGAACTCGTACCACTCTGGATACACTTCCACAACTTCTGTTTCCTTCACTCTCCGAACGCTATTCCATTGCCTGGCTGTTGGGAAATGGCATAAGAGTAATGCCAGCCATGCTTTCTATGTCTGTGCCTGAACACTACAACTCTGCTCTTTTGCTTTTCTTTATACTGTCTGTCAAATGTACAGTTCAGCCAACATTACTAATCAGGAACGGGGAGGGAAGAAGAGGAAGTTACCTTTGTAATGCTGATCACTTCCTCTTTTTTTTTTTCCCCTCCTCTTGCAGACCTGTGTGCTGTTAGTGCAGTTTGTAGAAGCAATAGTGGTTTTGGTGCGTCAGACCTCGCACGTCAGGATAACAAGAGCTTTGCGGTGTATCTTCTTGGTGGACTGTCGCTACTGTGGAGCGGTCAGAAGGTGACTGGCTACCTGGCCGACTGGCTGATTCCTGCAGTCATGGCTGAGAAAGAGATCAAACTAAAGCTTTGTGGTTGTCCAGGCTTTTTTCATAGAGACTTCATATTTACCCTGGAGATTTGTAAGAGTGCAGAATTGTAGCAAGGCAGTCTCAGAAATGTTACTGTATCTTAGAATTCTCTTGTTTTGGCCCTATTGGGAGGCTGTATGTCTTAACCCTGCAGAAAGAAATTGACACAGTGAAACTAGTATCACGTGTTACCTGAAGGCTGACTGCAAAGAAACTAAATATGGCTTGGAAAATTACTTGATGTTCTGGGGACCATGTAGCATTGTACTGCTGCATGGGAGACCTGGGTCTAGGGAATGAGTTTGAGATTCTTATTTCTCAGAGCTAACAGAACTTCACAATGTGCTAGAAATCCTGAGCATTCCATTCCCAATCATTGAAGTGAGAGATGGAAAAAGACTGACTAGATTCTCCAGTTTATCTGCTTGCCAATGTAGAATTGAGCCATCCTCACTTTCTGGTGCACATGCACAGGTTTCAGTTTAAAGTATGGAGTAAATGTTTCCTCCTTTTCAGAAATCTGCGGCAGATCTTCCAGTCTCTCCCTCCCTTCATTGACATCCTCCTCCTCCTTCTTTTCTTCATGGTGATCTTTGCCATCCTAGGTAAGTTGCCTTTGTGTAAGGTTAAGCTGTCTGCTTTCTTGTATGGTACCTTGCAGTAATTATTGTCCATGTGCCACAAAAGAGCAAGGGGAATGTAAAGCTGATTGGACGTAAGATGTTTTGACAGGCTCTTCACTTCCTTTCTGTCTGATTCATTTCATAATTAGCTGGGAGGTGAGGACAGGTGAAGAGTTGGAAAACATAGGAATTAGGGATTTCAGCCCCGTAAGGTAACATCACGAGTGACAAGGGAAATAAGTAACTTTGCCAAAAGGAGTTCTTGTATGCTTTGTGTGCGACTTCCAAGTTCTGCTTAATCAACTTCAGTCTGCAAGTTCAATTTAAACTTCTGAAAATTACTGTCTGTACTGTGCCTTGTACAATGCCATCCTCGGAGAGTATCAGAGAATTTGCTTTCCGGAGGGGTCATTTGAAAGTGTGTTGATAAGTACAAGGAGTCTACAGTATTGGAACTGGCACTGTGTAACACATACAATATCTTTTCACCTTCATGGTATTAGAAAACTTAACAGTTGCGTGACTAAGTATGCCAAGGATGGTGAACTTTTGGCATGCAATGCCTCTTCTGCAAAACAGTCACTGCCCAGCCTAAGGGCCAGCCAGAGTGTCCAAGCTTACAGCATGCCAGGTCTTCAGTCAAATCATGGGACTTTGTGAAATGAGAGAACGCTCTCTGGGTCTCTTGACCCTTTGTAGCACCAGCTGGGAAAGGATATGAAAGTAGAGGGGATCTTCAACTATGGGAGCAGGTGCCAAATCTTTGGACTGAAGAACCTCTTGCTGTTTTGGAGAAGGAGAGAGAGGAGGGGAGAAAAGGGAATAAGAAAAGCAGGAAGGAGAGGAAGCAGAGGTTTGAGAAAGGGAAGAGAGAATAAAACCAATCAAGATGGAATAAAATCACTAATGAAAGGGGACAAGAGGAAAGGAATGGCAGATCAGGAAAAAAGGATTCACAAACCCAAATCCTGCTCTCTTCTGCAGAAGCATGTTAGTGAGGCTGGAGACAAGGGCATGGGGCACCTTTTTCTCTCCCTCAACCACCTTCTTCCCTGATGTCCTCTGTCCATCATCTTCCATGCTGCTCCTTATGTTTAGAACAGTGTTCCAGATTAATCTGGGGTGGGGACTGTGGGCCTGATTCTCACACCTTCTTGTCCTTTACAATTGTATAAAAATGTGTGTACAATGCTACCAAATTAGGATTCCCCACTCACTTGCACCCATTTAACATAGGTATAAATGCTGATAGAAGGTGCCTGTGCAATGGAGAATGAGATCCTATATCTTCATCCTCTCTAAAGCACTGCACACATGCATTATGCTGCATACAGATATTAAATAATAACAGAATATTTAGCTGATCTGAAGTTTCATAGCCGTGATTTGAGGACAGGGACTCTTCGTTATTCTGTTGCTTGAAATTAATGTCCTTTTTTTTTTTGTTTGTTTTTCCCCCTTCCCATTTTCTCCTTCCATTTCTTTAGGTTTTTATCTGTTTTCCTCTAACCACTCAGATCCTGTAAGTAAACAACAAATACTTCAGACTTCGCTTTTTAAGACCCATTTGGTCATCTTGAAAACCAAATTCAAATAGTATATATAAGGTATAGATATAGTTTTTCTCCTGAATGGATTGTCTCTGGTTTTTAACTGGAGTTAGCACTAAGAAGGGCAGAGGGCCATGACTGACCATTTATTTTTGTAATGTAGTTAACCAAGGATCAGAACCAATGGGAAATAGTAAATGATCCCCCCCCTCAATGTCAGGAGATCCAAAAGGGGACATTACATTTGTCACCCCTCTTCTTGATGTCTCAGTCCAATCAGGGCCAGCCAAATCTCCCACTACCCACAACTGCATCTATAGTGCAGTGCACCACACCTGTGGGCTGGCATATAAATGTCCTTGATGTACTTTGCTGCTCTACTATTAGTGCTTCTGCCTGGATAGGTAAGTGAATATACCCAATAAAGAGTTGTGATCCCAGCACAGCTGCTGGCAACCTCTTGTGATACACCAAAACTTCTTGTGATACACTTGATCACAGATCTAAGGAAAATAGTACTTTTCCATCCCAAGTGGGAGGCAGTTGGGTCTGCAGTAAAAGAGTGGTATAAGAAATCCTATTCTCGTCCTCCCAACTTATGCTGGCCTTACTGCTCAACAGCCACAGGTTCCAGTTGCCAAGTCTGACCACAGGGTGATAAAAGTATTGGGAGTAACCTACAGGAATGTTCAGACAAGCTTTCATTTTTTAACTTTTGACATGCCACACCTTTCTGTTTGCCTACAGAAGGGGCATGCAATTACATGTCAAGAACTACTAAGAAAGGTCAGGAAATTAGTTAATTAGTTAAGGAATTATAACCTTGACAGTGTCAATGTGGGGCTGGTTTGTATTTGTTTTCTCTTTCAGTATTTCAGTACCTTAGAGAACAGCCTTGTGAATCTCTTCGTTCTTCTGACCACTTCAAAGTAAGTCCATGCTTCCTTCTACTGGGACTCCCTCCCTTCCCATCATCTCTGGGGAAAAAGTCTCTCACAGCAAATCTTTTATTTGTGAAACCTCTGGGGCTGCAGATGTGACCTCTTCTTTGTAGCATGAGAACGATGTTTCCCGGTGGGGAACCTGTACTTCATTGCAGCCTAATGTGCAATGACCTGCCCCGAAGGAACTGCTGTAGTTCACCATTAAGTATTATGAAGCCACTAAAGGGGAAGGATGGTCTCACTGTTAAGGAACAGGTCTAAGAATACAGAGGTCTGAGTTATGCTCCTTTATCTGGCACTAACACATTATACAGGCATGGGAAAGTCACTTCACCACCTCTCTCTGCCTCTTTTTCCCATCTGTAAAATGGGGATAATGATGCTTGTGCATTTTCTAGGATGATTGTGAGGATTAATTAACTTGAAATCCTTGGAATAAGATCTCTGTAGAACTGCAAAATATTACTGTTGATTAAAACATAAATAAACCATAGATACTTTGTAAGTCCCTGTTGCCCATCAAACTTTTGGGATGTTTAGGGATACATAATCTTCACTGCATTTCAAACTCTTGCAGCTAATGTATACGCAAAAGACTAAGTCTAATATACAGACTAACACGGCTGCTACTCTGAAAGGTAATGTATAGGTTCATAATCTGTATATTGTGTATAGCTACTTAGTCTGCATAACTATATGAGGATGGTGATTTGTGTATGCATATACACAGTTCCTGTACATAGTATGATCATCTAGTCAGTGTGAAATGCTGCATGAATGAGACTATTGTGATTGCTAATAAGTTGGCTTGTATGTTTTGGGGGGGCAGTTTCCCTGACGTGATGATGCCATCTTACTCCCAGAACCCCTGGTCCTGTGTCTTCTTCATAGTATACCTCTCCATTGAGCTCTACTTCATTATGAATTTGGTAAGTTTCTTACTGCAGCTGGGACTCCCCTTCCTCTCATTTTGATATTGCAGTAGAGTTCTTCACCTGTCGCAATGGTTTGGTAATAGAGTGCCTGTTCTTTTTTGTGTTATAATGATTTCTTAACAGGGTCTATCTGATTAAAAACAATTATACCTGTAACAAGGTCTCTTTGGTAATGTTCAGCCATCTTTGCAATCTCTCGTAACAACACTGCAATGACCTCTTCAGGGATTTTTGATCATTTAAGATGTGTCACATCGGTGGTCTGCTCATTGTGATAAGGCCCCTTTTGAAATCTCTTGTCATAACGGGGGTATCGGGATCCCTATCGGAATTATCACCTAGTAATAGCATTTTAATATCTTAACCAACCTGGAACCCTTTTAAATTGCCAATCAGAGTCTGAAATGGTTAAAACTGGTAACTCTGACAGGACTTTAATTGTAGCAGCACTAACATTAGCTCTGCAATCCATGTATACGTCCTCATATGTCACCTACACATAGTTAGATCTCCTTAGTGGGTGCTTGTTTATAGGTGTGTCTGCGTATTGAAAGATTTAAATAGGGAGCACAGCTGTAGCCATAGAATAGCATGAGTCTATTAATTCAGTCACAACTGGAGCTTTCAGGCTCACTTTGGCTTGTCCAAACCAATACAAGGCTCCGGAAATCCATCTACAGAAGCTGTATGCTGTATTACCTTGCAACACTATCTATTGATGAATACTGATGTCATTACATCTGGGCCTTATAGAAGCTAGCCAGTTGAGGGTATACTTGACAAAGCTTCAGTTGAAGGTATAAAGGCAGAAAGTAGCCCTCTTTCCCCTCTTCTTCTGAGCTTACTGTCCTGGTATGAACAGGCATTGTACAAACTTTTTTATGTGACTCTCATTAATGATGATAGGAGCTGTGTAGCCAAATACCTATGCACCATTTTAAAAATGTAACTGTGGGTGTGTGCTCTTGTTAATCCTTTGGTGTCCAGGTTGCTTAGAGATTCTTATTAACTCTACTATACCCTGTATTAGCACAGCACCTAGCAAAATCCATACTGCTGGCATCTATTGTGCCTCTCTGTGGTGCTTATTCAGAAGTGTCCAGATGCAATGTAGCATATGAGGCCATATGCTGTAGCGATCAAAGCCTGACTTCCTCTTTGTCTCATCTGTTTCTTTTCAGCTTCTTGCTGTGGTGTTTGACACTTTCAGTGATATTGAAAAGAGGAAGTTCAAGTCCCTGCTGCTGCACAAACGCACAGCCATACAACATGCCTACCGCCTACTTGTCAGCAAGCAGGTAGGGAATATTCTGTGTATGTGCAAGAAATACCCAGCCTGTGTCACTGGAACCGGTTACTGACACCCACCAGTAGCTCATCGGAAGACACTGAGTGTTTAAAGAGGTGGTGTCCCACCAGCAGTAATTGATGACAAAGTTCAGTGTGATCAGAAACCTGAAGGATTCAATAGATAGAGGATGGCTAAGTGACAACTAGCAGGAATGTTAAGCCTATAAATATATTTTGCAGATTGTACAGAACCAGGGAGAAAAGGAATGATTTAGCATAGTGAATTGAGGGTATAACGAAGAGTAATGGAATGAAATTCAAAAGGGAAAGCCGTAGGTTAAGTATCAGTAAAAGTATCCTGGCAGTGAGCTCTGTTAGACAGTGGAACAGTTTTCCAAGGGAAGTGGTGGAAGACCTAATACTTGGCACTTAAACTGAACAGAACTTCAGTGCAAGATTGTTCTCTGTTCTTCCACTAATCAGGAGATCAAGTAGAGGAGCTAATCCCAGGAGACTTTCCCTATATCTAGGTTCTAGAGTAATAAGTGAGTGTGTGCCTTCTAGAGGTGGTAGTAACAGCATCTTATCCTGACATTTAAATCTTGCTTAGAAGCAGTCCTAAGAGAGAGTTAAATACAGTGGCCTATATGTTCCTATGCTTCTTCCTACAGCATCACTTATGGCAACCCCTTTCTCTGTTTCTAGAGACCATCTGGTATCTCCTTCAAGCAGTTTGAAGGGCTCATGCGGTTTTATACGCCTCGGATGTGCGCCAGAGAGCGTTATCTCACTTTCAAAGCACTGAATCAAAGCAATACAGCTTTAGTCAGGTAGGAGCTGCTGCTGTAACCGAGAAAAGGGGTGGCATTTTACAGGATTCATGACACTCTGGGTCCATACCATATGTCAGAGGGAATGGTGCGGCTTATGAAGGAAAATCAATCCCAGAATACAGGCTTAGATGCAGCCTGGGGTCGGAGAACACTTCTGGGATTCTTGCCTTCTTAGGCTATTGGAGGTGAACTTGGGCTTGGAAGGGGTGTCAAAGTGATAATCCCCTGCTGCTTTATGATCTGCTCCTTGATGACTGGCTTTCCTTTCTGCCCCGTTGGAGAGACAATACTGCGATGACAGCCATTAAGCAGAGGGAGATAGGTGAAAGACAGAGGTCCTTGGAATAAAAGAGTGGGGAAACAGAGGACCCTATTTGGACATGAGACACCTAAAGAAAGGAGAACTTCTGCACATGCAATGCAACTTTAGCTTAACACTTTCCCAGGTAACCAGCAATTGGTTATGTCCCCTGGCATTTCACTAAAGCACCACTCTCCTGGAGTTCCTAAAAAGACTGCAGAACCCTGCATTAAGATTCAGAGTAATTATTGCTGAATCATGCTGTTGGGTGAGTCCAGTTAACTCCAACCTGGGTATAAAGAGATGAGTGTGTCTTTGGGCGAGAGAGACCTAGAATGATAGGACAAGGAAACCCCGAAGGGAAACTCAGGGCATAGCTAAGCTTGGGGTGAAATCTTTGCATGATGCTAATCTGGTGGTAGATAATGGTTTTCATTTCCCAATAAAGCTAAACCTCCAGGAAGGGAGTGAATCTGGATGCTAGTTCAGCATCTGTGTGCTCTGTTGAGGATGGGGTAGGTACCAAGAGTCAGATTGTTCAAGGTGTTTAGGTGCCTAAAGGTGCAACTAGGCACCAAGTAAGATTTTTTTCTAATCTGCGTCTTTAGGCATCTAAACACCTTTAAAAATCTGGCCCAAGCTGATTGTCAGTCGTTTTCATTTCATATGCTTACAGGGTTCTCTTATCTCATGTCTTTGCACCAGTTTTATTGTTGCTCAAAAGTTTAAAACTACCTTTTTAAAACAACCAACCAAAACCAAGCAGGAAAGGAATAGTTAGTAGTAAATGAGGAATTAAAATGTACTTCCAGGATGGTTCAAGTCCAATTATTTGTAAATGGCATTTTACAAACCGCACAACTGATCACCCAGCTATCAACCATGAGGCTTATGTAAACCTTAATATCGGTGATATCTTACTGTATTTATTTATATGCATGTAGTTCATGCAAGTAAACACTGTACCCCTAAGACCTTACAATATAAGTGGAAATTCTGATTCCATTGAAGTCCATAGCAAAACTCTCCTTGAGTTCAGTGGAGCCGAGATTTCACCCTAAGACTGTATCAGTCTTTGTCAGGCCTTGCTGCAGAAACGTGGTAGTCTTTACTCTCTCCTAAGGCTCACTTGCATTTAGGAAAACCTGAGACACAAACAATGGAATAGCTGAACGTTGATTTTTCATATAGTTTGAACAAGGAGTTAACAAGAGAAATTAAGGGGACTTCTCCTGAAAAGAAGGTCTGGCATGGAAAATGATCCCCCATCCCACAATCAGGGGACACAGTTAGGCACTTGATACACTTAAATAGTGAAACATTTGGTACCCATGATGGCAAAATCCAAATACCACAAAGATTTTGATCTGATTCACCCTTTTATCTTTCTCTTACAGCCTACAGGATTTCTACAATTTCTATGAAGTTGTTGGCTTAAAATGGAAGGCAAGTGTTAAATGGAAGAGAGTGTGAGGAGAGAAGGGGATGAGGACTGGAGGGAAGTTGGAGGTGAAAGAGAAGGTGGAGGAGAAATAAAGACTATGTGGAACAAGACCAAAATGACACGGGGAGAAGATGGGTCTTGTTCCTTTCTCTTATGGATGTAATTTTGACCTACTTAGATAAATCTCTGCTCATACCTCCCACTGATCAGGTCTGTTCCACTTCCAGACAAAACGAAACCGCGAGCACTGGTTTGATGACCTTCCACGGACAGCGTTTCTTATATTTAAAGGTAACTTGCTCTACAGATCACTTGATGATTACCCTGTTCTGTTCATTCCCTTTGAAGCATCTGGCATTGGCCGTTGTCTGATGACGGGATACTGGGCTAAATGGACTATTGGTCTGACCCTGTTTGGCCGTTCTTATGTTTTAAATTCTACATGTGCAGAAGCATGTACCTGTTGGAAAGTCATCTCTTTTAAAAAAAAAAAAAAAAAAAAGGCCTTCTGAAAGAACACATTCTCTCTACAGTACCCCAAGCGTAAATACAGTAACAGTCTAAATGCTCCAGATAAACTGCTGAGATGGGCACAGTTGCTAACTGCCGATCCACTCAAAGGGCACAGAGCAGCAGCCGTATTAGTCTGTATCCGCAAAATGAAAAGGAGGACTTCTGGCACCTTAGAGACTAACAAATTTATTTGAGCATAAGCTTTTATGGGCTACAGCTCACTTCATCAGATGCATTCAGTGAGCTATTATTAATAATAATAATAATAATAATATAATAGCTCACCTTACCTGATCACTCTCGTTACAGTGTGTATTGTAACACCCATTGTTTCATGTTCTCTGTGTATATAAATCTCCCCACTGTATTTTCCACTGAATGCATCCGATGACGTGAGCTGTAGCTCAAAAGCTTATGCTCAAATAAATTTGTTAGACTCTAAGGTGCCACAAGTCCTCCTTTTCATTTTTCAAAGGCACAGTGTTCTGGCCTGTTGGAGGACATCTGTTACACAAATATATATTCTGTGCACTGACCCGGAAACCAACTTTATAAAATAAGGAAAGCTTCTTAGCAAATACCTTGTAATAGACTAAGTCTTGAGCCCACCCATTGCTGGATTCATCTTCTGGTACAGCATGCAGGAGAGTCTGATGCAGCGCTCCAGCTTGCTGGGACTGGCCGAGTCTAGGAGATTCGTTTTTCAGTATCCAAGGCTGCAGCTCTCCTCCAACAGCAGCTGGCTGTGGAGTGGATTTGCAGTCTCCCAGGGATTGCTGGTCTTCATAATCTCAGGTGGATGCAGCATTTGCACAGAGCATGTGCAGCTGCTGTAAAGGAGAAAATAGAGGTTATAATGTGGCCTAGATACAGCCTTAAATGTAATATACCCTCTACATGCCACCATTGCAAATGTTCCAGTTTTTCTTTACCAGTTTGTATCTCTGGATAATTTTTTTTTTTAATATATATGTATATGTATGTGTATATATGTGTATGTTAGTGAGGGACAACTAGCCTGAACCAAGGATAGTGCAGGCAGCTACTGGTACAAGATCCCTATGCAGCTGTGCTAATGCACTTTAGCCCCACATTAGGACACTTCCACTGTTCCAGGACTGGGCAGTGACTGACATCTCCATTTGAACTGTGCACTAGTTTCAAGATGTGGGCAAATTTTGGAACTGCAGTAGGGTGAGAACTGTCACATCACTGTCACTTGAGTTGTGGGTCAGGATTTGAAGTCAAGGCATAAGAAGTGAAAGACATGTAAGTGCACTATTGCCCACTGTGCTACCTATACCCCGTGCTGAGAATGAATATGAAAAATGAGCCCAGTTAATGTCAGGGAGGTTATTGAATAGATATGGAGGAAGAAGAGGGAGTATTTGAGTTTATTTTTAAGTATTTTTTGTAACGAACATCTATTCGTAATATTTCCCTTCTTCATACAGGCATTAACATTCTGGTGAAGTCCCGAGCATTCCAGTATGCCATGTGTAAGTGTGAAAAACAAAATCTCATGATTTTACGTACTCAGCTTTCTTTGTTCTTCAGGGCAGGGATTCTCTCTCTGTTTGTACACTGCCTAGTGCAATGGCACCAGATCTCTGATTGGAGACACAATACACATAATAATTCCTGTGCTTGTCTGCAGTCAGGGAAGGAGTTCTTGAATCTGTGCGTGTAGGATTCTTATAAGGACTAGTTTATACATTACTTTGAAGTGTGTTTTATGGGACTGGTTTCTTCAGAAGCTGGCTATTGCACCCTCTGAAATGCAACAGGATGTGTGATTACACTTCACATGGTTTCAGTTTTGACACTGCAGCTGAGGATGTTAATGCAAGAACCTGACTTGACACACAATGCTCCCATGGTTTGCTGTACTTCAGAAAGTGCAAACAGCTTAATTCCAAGGGGTATTGCTTGGAATTTGTACAGAACAGAGCTGTCAAGTTTCTCTAGAGAGGAGGGCAAGTTTGACTCCTGGTCCCATTTGTTACGCTAATCTCTAATTTTGATTTTTATTCTGTAAGGAAGTGCCCTTTTTGCTGATTATGATGGTAGAATGAAGGGAGAAAAAAGGAGTGAAGGGGAGATTTCCTACATCTTGGATCCTCTGTGTCGCAAAGCCTTAATGGTGGGCGCTACAAAAAGGCCTGCAGGAGCTTTGTGATGGTGCTGTATCCTTCCTGCATTGTAACTGACCTAGGAGCTATATACAGTCCTGGAACAATTCTGCAAAGATGGAAAAAAACTGGAATATTGAAGTAATACTAGGGCAATGTAGGGAATAATGTACCAGGAAAAATAACTGCATGTCAGACTGAGATTCAACAATACACTTTTCCTTCCGAGGATCTCAAAGCATTTTACATAGGTGGATAAATTATTATACTCATTTTATATACTGGGAAACTGAAGCATAGAATGTAGAGGGCTTTACCAGTGAATGGGATGTGTAACCTTGGGAGAGTTGGAAACAGAACTTGGCTCTTCTGATGCCTAGTCCTGTGCCCTAACCATTAGCCCACACTGCCTGCCTAAAGGTTTAGAAGATTAACATCTGATTATCCAGCAACTTTTGATTGCAGCAGTGTATTTTGTTTTCCAGATACTGTGGTAGCTGTGAATGGGATCTGGATTCTAATTCAAACCTTCATGCTGCAAGGTAGGATATACATGGTTCATTTCTTGACTTGTCTTCCATAAGTTTGATCAGCCCTCTGAGAAGGTGCTGTTTCTGTGCCTTGCAGGTGGGAACTTCTTCCCCAGAGATGTCCCGTGGAGTTATATTGTCTTCCTCACGAGTAAGTTGCTGTGCCAGACCAGCACTGCCTTGTTCCATTACATCTGGGAAAGGGTATATTGGGGCTTCTCAGTTGCGCATTTTAGTCATTCAAGGTATTAAAGGATCCATTTCCTTGGAAGCCATTTTTCTCAGTGCCTAGGATCTGTAAAGATTTTATTGGCCTTGCTTGCTTGTCAGAAATGCGTCTGGTGACCTTGGTGCTGAAGAGGGAACTTCTTGCACCCCTGCTATCTATGTAATGAGATGCATCTAAATGGGAATGTAGTTCTGACTCAGCCCCTAGTAACATTGCCCCAAAACCACACACACATCTGGTCTTCCATTTTCACCCCAACCGTAAACTGTTGGGCATTTACTGACACCCGTCCACAAACACAACTCACATTACTGTCAGTGCAGACTGGATACATTGCATAGCCCTCTTGGTAGAATTATCATATTGAAAGTGTATCTCAAACCAAGACCCTATTTATTTCCTGCTCTGTTAATTGTTATTTTGTGGAATCCTCCTCTTCCTTTATTTTCACCTGGAAGCTCCTTCCATTTTCCTCCATTGTACTGCCCTTCCCTAACTTTGACTCTGAGCTGTCCTCCTTCCATTTTGGAGGTGGTGACTCTTTTGAGCCTATCAGCACCACTTCAAAGAAATCAGAGGAGCTCTTGAGAGATCTGTATACTGCTGTCCCTCCCACAGAGGCTGACTGTACTGTCTTTCTAGTACTCCTGAAAAGAACAAGTCAAGAGTGAGCCTGATCATAGATCCCTACATGCCAGTGTGTTGCTCGGCCATGGAACTCATTACTTATCCAAGTTAGTTCATCCTCCCCTATAGGTCGTGGTTGTTTTTCACTGCTGCTGCTGAGCAATTCTACTGAACAGAGCTAAAGCTGACAAATGCAATAAAGGTGACTTTGGGAGAAACCAAATACACGTTTGCTAACCTCTCACTTAACTGCATGGAGAGCTCTTTGGCTACAGTTGCCAGCAGAGGAGTTATCAGAAAAGTTGGAGTTAGAGAAAATGTCCATTCTTTGTTTTATTAAGATGTGGTGACTTATTTTTGTTTTCCCTGTGGCTGTCCTAATTAGTGACATCACATAAAGGCAGAAAACTAAATATTGACAAATTTTATAGGGCTTGTATGCTAATGCAAGAAGTCTAAATACTAACGGGGTGAACTTGAGTGCCTGGTATTAAATGCGGATATTAATAGAATAGGCAAACAGAAATTTGCTGGAACAATGATAATCAATGGGGGACACAATACTAGGGTACAAAATATATAGCAATGACAGAGTAGGTTGTGCTGGGGTGAGTGGCACTGTATGTGAAAGAAAGCATGGAGTAAAATATAGTAAAAATCTTAAATGAGTCAGACAGTACCATAGAATTTTTGTGGATAGAAATTCCATGCTTGAATAAGAGTATAGCAGTCGGAATATACTACTGACAATCTGACCAGGATGGTGACTCTGATTGTGAAATATTCAGGGAGGTTAGAGAGGCTACAAAAACAGAAAACCCAATAATAATGGGGGATTTCATTTATCCCCATAGTGACTGGGTTCATGTCACCTCAGGATTGGGTGCAGAGATAAAATTTCTAGACGCTATTAATGACTGCTTCTTGGAGCAGCTAGTTCTGGAACCCACAATGGGAGAGGCAATTCTTGGTTTAGTCCTAAGTGAGCACAGCATCTGGTCCAAGAGGTGAATATAACTGAACGACTCGGTAATAATGACTATAATGTAATTAAATTTAACATCCTTGTTGGGAGGAAAATTCCAGAGAAACCCACCACAGTCGCATTTAACTTCAAAAAGGAGAACTAAACAAAAATGAAGCTAGTTAAATGGAAATTAAAAGGAACAGTAAAAAGAGTGAGCTGCCTGTAAGCTGCATGGAAGCTTTTTTAAAATACCATAATAGAGGATCAAACTAAATGCAGTTCCTCCCCCCCACCCCAAAAAAAAGAAGGTTACAGGACCAAGAAATGCCACCATGGCTAAAGAACATACTAAAAGAGGTGGTTAGAGACAAAAAGACATCTTTTAAAAGTTGGAAGGCAAATCCTACTGAGAAAAATAAAGGAGTATAAACTCTGGCAAGTCAAGTGTAAAAGTATAATTAGGCAGGCCAAGAAAGAACTTGAAGAGCAGCTGGTTTTTGCTAACAGCAAAAAATTCTTTAAGTACATTAGAAGCAGGAAGCCTGCCAACAAGGGCCACTGGATGATTGAGGGCCACTGGACAATCTAGGTGCTAAAGGAGCAGTCAAGGAAGACAAGTCTGTTGCAGAGAAGCTAAATAAATTTCTGGCATCGGTCTTCACTGCAAAGGATGCAAGGGGGATTCCTAAACCTGAGCAGTTCTTTTTAGGTGACAGATCTGAGGAACTGTCCCAGATTGTGGTGTCTATAGAGGACATTTTGGAAGAAATTGATAAATTAAACAGTAATAAGTCACCAGGACCAGATAGGTTACATACCACAGTTAGTATTTCTGCAATTTCACATTTGAGTTCCTCCAGAAATGTTGGGTGAATCCTATCACTTAAATTAGCCTCTGTAGCAGGTGACTGGCAGATAGCTAATGTAATGCTGATTGATTGATTTGATTTATTTTTAAGGCTCCAAAGGCAATTTCAGGCCAATGAGCCTAATTTCAGTGCTAGGCAAATTGGCTGAAACTATAGTAAAGAACAGAATGATCAGACACATAAATGAACACAGTATGTTGGGGAAGAGTCCACACAACTTTTGTAAAGGGAAATCATGCTTTACCAATCTTAGAATTCTTTGAGGGTGTCAGCATGGACAAGGTTGACCTAGTGGATGTAGTATACTTGGACTTTCAGAAAGCCTTTGACAAGGTCCCTCACCAAAGGCTCTTAAGCAAAATGGGCAGTAATGGGGTAAGAGGTAAGGTCCTCTCATGATCAGTAACTAGCTAAAATACAGGACACAAGAGTAGGAATAAATGGTCAGTTTTCATAGTGGAGAAATAGAAATAGCAGGTTCTCCCAAGGATCTGTACTAGGACCAGCTCTGTTCAACATATCCATAAATGATCTAGAAAAAGGGGTAAACAGTGAGGTGACACAGTTTGCAGATGACACACAATTATTCAAGATAGTTAAGTCCAAAGCTGACTGCGAAGAGTTACAAAGGGATCTCACAAACCTGGATAACTGAGACACAAAATGGCAGATGAAATTCAGTGTTGATTAAATGCAAAGTAATGCACCCTGGAAAACATAATCCCAACTACACATGAAAAATGATGGGGTCTAAATTTTCTTTTACCACTCAAGAAAGAGATCTTGGAGTCATTGTGGGTAGTCCTCTGAAAATATCTTCTCAATGTGCAGTAGCAGTCAAAAAGCTAACAGATGTTAGGAGCCATTAGAAAAGAGCTAGGTAATGAGACAGAAAATACCATAATGCCACCATATAAATCCATAGTATGCCCACACCTTGAATATTGTATGCAATTCTGGTCACGCCCTCTCAAAAAAGATATATTGGAAATGGAAAAAGTACAGGGTAGGGGAACAAAAATGATCAGGGTTATGGAATATTTTCTGTATGAGGAGAGATTAAAAAGACTGGGACTGTTCAGTTTAGAAAAGATTTATGGGGGAGATGATAGAAGTCTATAAAATCATGAATGGTGTGGAGAAAGTCAATAAGGAAGTGTTATTTACCCTTTCACATAACACGTGACTCCGGGTCACCCAATGAAATTAATAGGCATAAAGTTTAAAACAAGTACTTCTTCACAGAATTCAGTCAACCTGTGAAACTTGTTGCCAGGGGATGTTGTGAAAGCCAAAAGTAGAACTGGATTCAAAAAAGAATTCAATAAGCTCAGGGAGGATAGGTCCATCAGTGGCTCTTAGCCAAGATGGTTAGGTACACAACCCCTTGCTCTGGATGTGCATAAACCTCTGACTGCCAGAAGCTGGAGATGAATCACTCGATAAATTGCCCTGTTTTGTTCATTCACTCTGAAGTATCTGGTCTGGCCATTGTTGGACGACAGGATACTGGGCTAGATGGATCACTGGTCTGACCAAGTATGGCCATTTTTATGTTTTTATTCCCAGATATATAGAAATACTTTGATCACTGAACTGTTACCTGATGTCCTAATGTTCTACTAATTCAAGAACTTCACAAAGTGCCATCTTGGCAGTGTATGAAACAAGCAGCCTTCCTTCACTCTGTTTGAAAATATCTCCCATGGTCCCATGAGCTTGTATATATGATTCTTTATACATTCCATTGAGGCCAAATTGGGCAAGTAAGTGGGAGTGAGTATGTGCCCTGAAGTTCCTCCTGATGACTGACTAACCTTTCTTTAAGGCATTCACTCTTGTCCAAATGTTTGGCACAGTAGCTAAGTTGAACTCCATTCAGCAGCAGTGGGGAGAGATCACCACCCAAGTACAGGGAGAAGTTGGGAAGTGGGGTCCACTTAGCATCCCCTTGAGGATAAACATGAAGGAAGGGAATGGGAGCCTATTAAACCTACAGTCAACAAACCTACGAGTTCAAGCTGTACATATGGAATGGTTATGGTGGGGCTCATTTAAGGGTTGATATTAGATGCTCTCTTGTTTTGCAGTCTATGGGGTAGAGCTGCTCCTGAAAACCACTGGCCTGGGACCCATTGAGTATCTGTCTTCTGGATGGAATCTGTAAGTGTGCCTCTTGTGAACAGTGAATGGGGGCTGGAGGCATAACACCCAGAGCTGTTGTGCTATCCTGCACTGTGTCAGTGTCACTTGAGCAGTCTGAATTTGAATCAGCTGAACTTGGTGGGGATCTACTGAGAGAGAACTCAGAATTACAGGATTTGAGGGACATGGTGATAGTTGCTGGGATATAGTTGCCTTCTTTCAAAAACAGCCTTAGGTTGATAGGTTAGAAAACTTCATTTCAATAGAGGTTCTTCAGACAATTCCAGTACCCCTCCACCTTTCCCTTTGTCTTCTTTTGAACTAGAGTGCCAGGAGCACTCTGCCCCTCGCAAGGCTAAACCGGGCCATTTCTGCTCTCCCTCTTCCTTTTCCAGCTTTGATTTTTCAGTCACCTTGTTTGCATTTCTGGGTCTCCTGGCGCTGGCATTTAACATGGAACCATTCTACTTCATCGTTGTCCTGCGACCCCTTCAACTGCTGAGGTGAGACAGAAAAGGCATATGGGGAATGGGAAAATAACCAAAGCAGCAGAGCTAGGGAGACTTGTTTTTTCTTCCAACCCAATCAAGAGCTCATCTCATTGGCAGGATCCAACTGGGTACATGACCATATCAGAAAGGAAGTGGAAACCTCTCTGGGTAATGAGATTATCTTGAGTTATCAGAATTAATTATGACAAACTTTGGAAGGGATATTAAAGCTTATGCTTCAGGGTTTAACCCAGCCTCTGTTAGAATCCAGGGTGGGACGTGATGTGGGGGCAGATTATCTCACATCTGCTTCTGTAGGGGTTCTTATACCTGTCTCTGAAATATCTGTTGCTGGCCACTGTTGTTCAGGATCCTGGGCTAGACAGACCTGAGGTCTGATCCCGTCTTTCAGTTCCTGTGTTCCTATGTGCAGAGTGCTGTAGCTCCCAGAAATGCCAATCACCTGAGGCAAATTGTTGTCTACTGGTTAGAGCAGGTTGCATGAGTTCTCTTCCCAGTTCTGATACTTGCAGTGACTCCTTGGTCAGGTAATTTATCTTCTCTGTCCCTCAGTAAAACGGGTATGATGATGTCTGCCTCAGAAGGTTTTTGTAAAGATTCATTCATCTTTGTAGAGTGCTTTGAGATCATCAAATGGAAGTTCTATAGAAGACACAGTATTCTTTTACTAAAGATGAACTAATACCTAGTTTTCATATAGCACTTTTCATCAGTAGATCTCAAAATGCTTTACGGAGAAGGTCAGTATTGTATTATCCCCATTTTACAGATGGGCAAACTAAGGCCCAAAGAGGAGACATGACTTGCCCAAGGTCAACCAGGAAACCTGTCAGAGCTGGGAATAGAACCTGGGTCCCAGTCCAGTTCTCTATCCACTAGGTCATACTGTCTAGGATTCCCACTTGATAATGGAGCACACGTGATGATTTAAACAATTGGGTTAATTACATTTTAAAAGAAACCATTTTCTCCTTTACTCATCTGCCAAAGCCTGCACTCAGAAGTCTGTTTTTCCTCTTGTATTGGTTGATGTGTGAGGAATGCAGCTTTCTCCCATTGATGGTTGCAGGGGAAAAAACAGAACTGAATTTGTGTCTTGGTAAGTGAGCGCACCTTTAGAATGTGTTCTGTAAATTCCAAGCATACAGGTGTTAATGATGTAGGAGCTCGCCATTTATAAATGTAATTTATTTATGTATGATGCTTTATAGGTAAAACACTATCCTTATCCTGAGAAGCATAATCCTGCAAACACTTATTCATACAGCTTGTCCTTCCTCACATGAGACAGAGGGGCTTACCCACAGGAGTAAAGACTATTTGAGTAAATATGGTCTGGATCAGGAACTGGGAGTCCTTACCTCTCCACTTTTAATGTGTCTAAAGTCTAAGTATCCCAACCAAGTGAAGGGAAGCAGTGTGTGGTGGAAAATTAACCACTCATTGTTTTAGGAATCAGAATTGCCTGAGGCTTTTTATTTTATGCGAGCATATATGCAAGGAGAGTCAGCATAGCTGCACGCAGGGTGGCAAGCGGCTCTGCTTTCCATACACTTCAACGAACTTATATAGGGTTTTCAGTGGCATTTCGAACAATACATGGGTACTTCTGCATGGGTACTTTTCCAACAGACCCTATCAATTATGCCTTATAAGGACAATATCCTACGTATTGCATCAATAAGCAACTTTTCTAGGTTGAGCAAGCTTTGAGGTTAAACAATAGGCCAAGTGCGGTTGATTGTAGGCCATGGGCTGTATATTGCAATATTGCAGTCAGGGGTTTTTTAAGCGGAACCGGTTGGATAGTCAGGGGCTTTTAGAAACTGCCCTGCTGTCATAGCATCTCTTGGCCACCCACACAGTCAGACTGGTCAAAGTTCGGCTAGCTTGACCAAAGTCCAGGCCCACTCAATTTTGCCTCCACAAGTGTAACCTAGTGGATAGAGGATTGATACTTGGGAGATCTGTGTCTGAGTCTCACTGACTTACTGTGTGACCTGGGCAAGTCATTTCCTCTGCCCCGTGCCTCAGTTTCCCCATATGTTAAATAGGGATAATGATACAGACCTCCTGTGTGAAGTGCTTTGAGATCTACTGATGAAAAGAGCAGTGTCCCACTCCACCTCTGGGGAAATTATTGGTGAATAATGGAAGTGCAAAACAATTCATAGATTCCAAGGCCAGAAGGGAACATTGTGATCATCTAGTCTGACCTCCTGTATAACACAGGCCATAGAAATTCCCCCAAAATAATTCTTAGAGCAGATCTCTTAGGAAACATCCAGTCTTGATTTAAAAGTTGGCAGTGGTGGAGAATCCACCACGATGCTTGGTAAGTTGTTCCAATGATTAATTACCCTCACTGTTTTAAAAAAAAATTATGCTGTATTTCAGATCCAAATTTGTCTAGCTTCAACTTCCAGCCATTGGATCATGTTGTATCTTTTCCTTCTATCAGTACTCCCCTGTCTAAATGCAGGTGCACAGTCCCCAGATTCTCATTTAGTAGCGTCACAGCGAGGAATGCCTCCATATGGACCCTGGCTGTGCCTGTATTCAAAATGCTTCTCTCGAGGCTTTGTTTTGCTGCTACATGCTACTTGTCTTTATGCGGCTAATAACAAAACAGGAAGGAAGTGTCTTCATGTAAGTAACCACTGGCTTTTCGTCCCTTCTTCAGGCTCTTTAAATTGAAGAAGCGCTACAGGAATGTCCTGGACACAATGTTTGAGTTATTCCCTAGGATGGCAAGGTATTGCACAGCCCTCCTTGGAGGGGGAAAAATGGGCAACATCCCAAAGGAGCGTGTACTAATATGACACTGCCATTTCCAGGGTAATGAATACCTGGGCTGGGGTCACGGTAGGAGCGATCACTTTTTTCTTTCTTTGCAGTGCAGCACAAAGAAATACATAGAGTTCTCTAGCACACTAGGCCTAGCACCTGATGCACAGTAATCCCTTTGTGCTGAGCACAGGGGCAACCCCACTTTTGCACTTGTTTGGTTTTTAAGAAATGATGTTTTTTGTGCAAAGAAAGTTTCACAAAGAAGATATATATACCCAGTGTTGCCTCATGTCCTTGGTACAATAGGGGACCAGATGGGTTACAATTATTTCAAAATGATATGGAATGCCCATTTAATTAGTCACTGAGATAAGTAGCCATTGTCAGTCTATGACATCACAGTATCTTATTCCCCTGTTGCAAAACTAGCTAGGTGTTCAGACATGTTAACAAACTATCCTTATTCTTGAAGCTGTTCTGACATCACTGCTGATGGTCAAGGAAACAAAGAGGATACAGCTATGTTGGCTTGTGCTTCATTAGAGAAACTGGGTGGTGGGGAGGGGGAATAAATATGTAATGGCTTAATGGAAAGGAGCAAGTCTGTAAGGAAAGAAGGGTTATCTTCAAGTTTCTCAGAGGTTATTTCTCATCAAGGGAGTGGTACAGAACTCCATGACTTGAGACTTCTAAAACTAGACAAACACTGCACATGTTCCATAGGAAACAAAACAGAATTGCAGGGAGGTGGTCAGATGCTACACTGGGGTTTACGGTAGATGGTAGAGATGGAAAACTGCTTAGAGAACAGCCAGTCTGAGTGACTTTGCTTTTTTCTCTGTCCTACCAATTGGCGAATAACAGAATTAGGCTACGTCCACACTGCACTCCTTACAACGGTGCAGCTGTGCTGTTTCAGCCACACTGTTGTTGGGCACGCAGTTTAGCCGCTCTTTGTCACCAGGAGAGAGCTCTCCTGACGACGATATCAGATCACCCCAAACAAGGGGGGATAGCGTCATCGGCCGGAGAGCATCTCCCACCGACAAAGTGCTGTCCACACTGGTGTGTTTCATCGTTAAAACTTCTGTCGTTCAGGGGTTGTTTTTTTCACACTCTAGAGGGACAAAAGTTTTAACAATGAAGGTGCAGTGTAGACAAGGTCTTACTTTTGTTTCTCTCTCCTCCAGCCTGGGCTTAACCCTACTTATCTTCTACTACTCCTTCGCCATTGTCGGCATGGAATTCTTCTCTGGGGTTGTCTACCCAAACTGCTGCAAGTGAGTACCCAGCAACCACCTTCCTCTGAAACAGCCTTGTTAATAGCCTGGTTCAATGCCAAGCCAGGAGCATCGTGTGTCATATCTGTATTTTCCTATCAAGAAAAGGCCAGTGGATGTGTGTTTACGAAGAGTGGTTGTTCTGAATTGAGATTCACAGTAAAAGGGAGACTTATCACTTCTCTTGCTGAGACTAAGTGCAATGATCTTTACTTACAGTTTGAGAAGGGAGAGGGGTAGTATTGTGCTGCTTGGTAGTGCTGGGTATTTGAATCGCTGCCTGAAGCAGCTGGGCTGGGATGGTTGCTCTATAATGGCACCACAGTAAAGCCCCCATGTAATAGGTATGATGCTGCAGTGCCCTTGCCTGGGGGGTACCACTTTAGAGAATGGCATTCAAAATGCAACAAGTGTTGGCAAGAAGAAAAAATAGCCTCCCTGCCCACAGGTCTCTCAGCATGCCTGTGTCTGTCAGCACCTGGAGCGTTGCACATCTTTCCAGAGCACCTCTCATTGTATGTTCTGGCTTCTCTAATCAGCACGAGTACAGTTGCAGATGCCTATCGCTGGGTGAATCACACGGTTGGAAACAAGACAGTGGTGGAAGAAGGTTACTATTATCTCAACAACTTTGACAACATTTTGAACAGCTTTGGTAAGAGGAATATTTACATCTTGGTTCTTATCTTAATTGTTGTAATACTCCTCGCATCTACTGCTGCTGATTGCAGAATGACCCTGTGTGAATCTGGTGCTTCTGTAGGGGTGAGACTCTTAACATAGCTTGCATAAACACCTGCCCATGCTTCCTTCTAGTCCCCAGAATTCTACCAATGCGTGTCAGCCCTGGTCCTCAGTACCCCTTCCCATTCTAACCCTGCCACCTGCAAGTGGCTCTGCCAAGTGACCTGTAACACCCCTGCTCTGGATCCCTAATCCTACTTATACTGTACACCTCAAACCTGCAGCAGTATCGTTTTGCTGTCCTGGGTTCTGCTGCTGGCTAAGAGAATCCAACTGTGTGGTGATTTTACAAGGTAAACATATCCTGGAGACAAGCATGAAACCTGCCGACTTGTTTTGACATGTGATCTGAACCAGTTTTGAATCCATGTTTCCAGAGATGAATAAAGAGAGCAACTCCACTATCCTGCTGAGCCTCTAACACTGATGTTGTCACTCTGTTTTTTTTTTTTTTTTTTTTTTCTGACTTTAAACATGAGTCTGGCCTGCAGGAGGAGGAGGAGGATGATAGTGGTGATTTTTTTTCTTTTTTTTTTCTTTGTGGATCTCTCAAGAGTCTTGCTTAGTGTGGCCTGGTATGGCAGACTCTGGTTCTTCTAAGAAATGTGGGCCAAACTGTGCTCTTTGTTATACCATTATAACACTAGAGTCACTCCATTGTCATCAGTAGGGTGACTTCAGATTAACTGTGGTATGACTGAGAGTAGAATCTGTCTTCTGTCATCAGCACTCAAGTATTTCAGTCTCTGTTGGCTATCCTGAATGAGGTATCTTATGAAGAAAGTGGGAGAAAGCACATAATAGGGGAAATAGAGGCATTGAAATGACTTTGAAACTGGTCAGGCTGGCTAAAGCACTTCTTGTTTTGTCCTTTCTGTCTCCATACAGTTACGCTGTTTGAGTTGACAGTTGTCAATGATTGGTACATCATCATGGTATGTAGATCTCGGGGTACTTAAATGTATTCTTGTGTATACCACAGAATTCTTGCCAGCAAGGTAAAGAAGTATGGGCTGGATGAATGGATTATAAGGTGGATAGAAAGCTGGCTAGATCGTCGGGCTCAACGGGTAGTGATCAATGGCTCCATGTCTAGTCGGCAGCCAGTATCAAGTGGAGTGCCCCAAGGGTCAGTCCTAGGGCCAGTTTTGTTCAATATCTTCATTAATGATCTGGATGATGGTGTGGATTGCACCCTCAGTAAGTTTGCAGATGACACTGAACTGGGAGGAGTGGTAGATACGCTGGAGGGTAGGGATAGGATACAGAGGGACCTAGACAAATTAGAGGATTGGGCCAAAAGAACTCTGATGAGGTTCAACAAGGACAAGTGCAGAGTCCTGTACTTAGGATGGAAGAATCCCATGCACTGCTACAGACTAGGGACCGAATGGCTAGGCAGCAGTTCTGCAGAAAAGGACCTAGGGGTTACAGTGGACGAGAAGCTGGATCTGAGTCAACAGTGTGCCCTTGTTGCCAAGAAGGCCAATGACATTTTGGGATGTATAAGTAGGGGCATTGCCAGCAGATCGAGGGACGTGATTGTTCCCCTCTATTCGACATTGGTGAGGCCTCATCTGGAGTACTGTGTCCAGTTTTGGGCCCCATACTACAAGAAGGATGTGGAAAAATTGGAAAGAGTCCAGCAGAGGGCAACACAAATGATTAGGGGACTGGAACACATGACTTATGAGGAGAAGCTGAGGGAACTGGGATTGTTTAGTCTGCGGAAGGGAAGAATGAGGGGGGTTTTGATAGCTGCTTTCAACTACCCGAAAGGGGGTTCCAAAGAGGATGGATCTAGACTGTTCTCAGTGGTAGCAGATGACAGAATGAGGAGTAATGGTCTCAAGTTGCAGTGGGGGAGGTTTAAGGTTACATATTAGGAAAATCTTTTTCAGTAGGAGGGTGGTGAAGCACTGGAATGCGTTACCTAGGGAGGTGGTGGAATCTCCTTCCTTAGAAGTTTTTAAGGTCAGGCTTGACAAAGCCCTGTCTGGGATGATTTAGTTGGGGATTGGTCCTGCTTTGAGCAGGGGTTTGGACTAGATGACCTCCTGAGGTCCCTTCCAACCCTGATATTCTATGATTCTATAGTCAGCACCAGGGCTTTGTCATCAATTCTTAATCACTCTGCAGCGCAAGATTCTCTTTAACACAGATCCTTTTTCATCACTCTGATGGAAAGTGGGTAACTTTTGGCTGACATGGATGGGATGAGAGGGTGGCACTGTTAGCTGCCTGCCAGGAGCTGTCCTCCCCAGTAACATCACTCAGATATTCTGACAGACAGGTTGCCACTGGCTGGCTCTGCGCTGTACCTTTTGGCTGTTATACAGCATGTGACAGCTATTGAGCAATTCTGAATGGTTTAGGGAGAAGATGAAAGGTTCTGAATGCTGCCCTTTTACCTCATGTATTTCTCAATGAGGTTTCTCATCAGTCGTCTTATTTCTTCTCTCCTCCTCCCTGTCTCCTCTTTCTCCCCCTACCCCCACCCTCCCACCTTGCTATGTATGGTTGAATGGCAGCCATTCTCTGTAATGCTACGAAGGAAATCTTCACTAGGAATAACCTCAGGATCCTTGATCTAATTAATTCTGAATGCAGCATGGCAGACCTGTTGTACCTTTGGTGTAAGGGTGTTAGTGCCCTCACTCTTCAAGCACTTCTGTACTATAGCTTGTTGTCGCAGGCACTATGCTGTATATTGGTAGCTAGATATGTAGCGAGATAGCTATCTCTACACTTTTCTGTAGCACTCGTCACCATTGTGTGAGTATTTACACATCAAAGTAATATATGGGAATCTGTGTTCAATCCTTTAGGGGAAGGGCTTCAGGCCCAGGGGCTAGCTGGGGCTTTGAGTATGGTAGAGGCAGTCCCTGGGGTTAGATACGTGAGGTGCACTACTTGTCCTGTATTTCATGAGGTACAGATTTATATTTGGGGGTGGGGGGGCGTGCTGCTTTGTCTGCTCTCAAGGGGACTAATGCAGCTTCCCTCCTCTTTGCCTGCCACTGAACTCCTGCCTCTCTTGTCCCTAGGAAGGGGTGACCTCACAAACCTCTCACTGGAGCCGCCTCTACTTCATGATCTTCTATATTGTGACCATGGTAGGTCCTCAATGCACTTTTGATGGAAAATCTCTAAATGCCAGCGGCAGTCTTGCTATGCTCTAGTGGAAGAATCCGCAGCCAATTAGGGACGTTCTCTTTATGAAACGTAGCTCAGAACGACGCATGTGTCCAAATCACTTTCACTGGCTTTGATATGGCAAGAACTACAAGTGTTGCCAGAGTAGACTCATTATTATGTAGCTGAATGTGAGTTATAGTGGTGTGTAGTGATACCTCCATCTTGTCATACCGCCCATTCCCAGTTCACTGGCAGGCTGTTACACAAACACATCGCCTAGACTCATGGATTAGGATTTGTACACTCCCTCTGCTGAAAGAAGGGGTGAGGGGAAGCAGCAAGAATTCAGGTGCAGTTCAATTAGAACCAGACTTGGAAGGATGCTGCAGTTACAAACCCTGTGACGCTCTCTACTCATTCTGGCTCCCTTCCCAGGTGGTGATGACGATCATTGTGGCCTTTATACTGGAGGCTTTTGTGTTCCGCATGAACTACACCCGAAAGAACCAAGGTTCAGAAGGTCAGTGTCAGGCCTGGCCAGCCTGCTGGTCTGTATAAATTTGCTCCCAAAGTCTGGCTTGTGTGTATGAGAGAAAACAACTGAACAGGAAAGGCCTGATTTTATAACCTCCTCACGTGCACCCACAATTCTGTAGTTGCAAATAACTGCAGTTGCTGTATTTAAATATCAAGCTACCCGATTATACCCAGCTCAGATAGCTGGATATCCAATGGCAGCAGTTGTAACTGCGGTTATTTGCATTCCCAATTGAGTGCGCACAAAATAGGCTATGAGGTGTAGGTCCTTTTTTTAAAAATCAGACCTTTGGCCCCAAACATCCTCGGAACTAGAAAAACCCTCCCAATCCAACATACCTGCCATCACCTTATTGATTGTTCTTTTCTAACTTGTTGGTAAGATGTGGCTCCTCTTGCCATCTCCCAGTCTGAAGAGCTTAACACAGTCTCCCACAGTATTCTTGCCAGCAAGTTGAAGTAGTATGGGCTGGATGAATGGACTATAAGGTGGATAGAAAGCTGGCTACATTGTCTGGCTCAATGGGTAGTGATCAATGGCTCCAAGTCTAGTTGGCAGCCGGTATCAAGCGGAGTGCTCCAAGGGTCAGTCCTCGGGCCAGTTTTGTTCAATATCGTCGTTAATGATCTGGAGGATGTTGTGGACTGCACCCTCAGTAAGTTTGCAGATGACACTAAACTGGGAGCAGAGGTAGATACGCTGGAGGGTAGGGATAGGATACAGAGGGACCTAGACAAATTAGAGGATTGGGCCAAAAGAAATCTGATGAGGTTCAATAAGGACAAGTGCAGAGTCCTGCACTTAGGACGGAAGAATCCCATGCACCGCTACAGACTAGGGACCGAATGGCTAGGCAGCAGTTCTGCAGAAAAGGACCTAGGGGTTACAGTGGACGAGAAGCTGGATCTGAGTCAACAGTGTGCCCTTGTTGCCAAGAAGGCCAATGGCATTTTGGGATGTATAAGTAGGGGCATTGCCAGCAGATTGAGGGACGTGATCATTCCCCTCTATTCGACATTGGTGAGGCCTCATCTGGAGTACTGTGTGCAGTTTTGGGCACCACACTACAAGAAGGATGTGAAAAAATTGGAAAACATCCAGCAGAGGGCAACACAAATGATTAGGGGACTGGAACACATGACTTATGAGGAGAGGCTGAGGGAACTGGGATTGTTTAGTCTGCAGAAGAAAAGAATGAGGGGGGATTTGATAGCTGCTTTCAACTACCCAAAAGGGGGTTCCAAAGAGGATGGATCTAGACTGTTCTCAGTGGTAGCAGATGGCAGAATGAGGGGTTATGGTCTCAAGTTGCAGTGGAGGAGCTTTAGGTTGGATATTAGGAAAAACTTTTTCAGTAGGAGGGTGGTGAAGCACTGGAATGCGTTACCTAGGGAGGTGGTAGAATCTCCTTCCTTAGAAGTTTTTAAGGTCAGTCTTGACAAAGCCCTGTCTGGGATGATTTAGTTGGGGATTGGTCCTGCTTTGAGCAGGGGGTTGGACTAGATGACCGCCTGAGGTCCCTTCCAACCCTGATATTCTGTGATTCCATATGCCTCTAAAGGAATAAGTCAACACCTTGACTGGCCCTGTTTGTTCCTGTACAGCCAGCTTTGTGCTATGAAGCTTCAGAAGAGTCTCACAAAAATGATTAAAGGATTGGGAAGCAAGCCTTATAGTGATAGTCTCAGGGAGTTTGATCTATTTAGTGTAATAAGGGAAGGCCAAGGGTTTACTTGATTATGGTTTACAAGTACCTACATGTGCAACAACAATTTGATAATGGGTTCTTCAGTCTAACAGACAAAGATATAACAAGATCCAGTGGCTGGAAACTGAAGCTAGAGAAACTTTTAACAGTGAGGGTAATTAGCCATTGGAACAATTTACCAAGGATTGTGATGGATTCTCCCTCATTGGCAGGTTTTAAATAAAGATTGGATGTTTTTTCTAAAAGATACGCTCTAGTTCAAACAAGAATTAATTCAGGGAAGTTCTCTAGCCTATGCTATATGGTGGTCAGTCTAGATGATCACAGTGGTCCCTTCTGACTTTATAATCTCTGAAAACCCCGTTAGGATTATTGCCATTGCTGATTAAAACTGTGACTCCCAATGTCTTCTCCTTGTTTTCTTTCCCTCCCTCTGAAGAAGACAATGGCATTGTCCTGGAGAAGGAGATCTCCAAGGAGGAAATGGCAGGTGTAATTGAGCTCTTCAGACGGAATTGTGCTGCCTCTGAAACTGCTCCGCTGCAGAAGGTCGTTGCACAAATGGACAAATATGAGGTACGGAGAGAAGCTGGGATTCAGGCCACAATGCCTGCACTTCTGTGGTGCAACATCCAGGGTCACAGCTGTGGGATTTAAAGGAGCTCTTCTGCTATGGTGCAGAGAAAGCCTCTTTCCACATATGCCCTTGGCTCTTGTTAGAATCTGCTCTGTTGAAGGGACTCTGGATCGGTGCCCTGCAGATTAGCACTTAAAACTCATTGCACTGAAGAAACTGCAGTTGAATTCCCAGGGCACTGGCCTGAATTCCCACTCTATTCCTGAGATTAAGACCTATCTCACCATACAGAATAAACATTGCTAAGAGGCATCCTGGCCAGCTTACCCCACTGGAAGGAGCATTCTGGTTTTTGCGAGTTCCTAACACTGCAGTTACTGTCCTATAATTCACCTGTGCTGCCCAATCTGTTTTCTACCTGACCCACTACTGTACAGCTGTCCATACAGTTCTGAAGCATTGTGCCATAATATAACTGTCAGTTCCAAGTTTCAAGCTTACTTCTCTGAAGATGATGGCAACTACTTTTACCACTGGTATCACAAAAGGGATATTGTCAAGCCTGAAAATGAAGATACCTTGAAAACTGTCCCACGCTGTAGCTCTTCCCTTCGAGAGCTGTCTCTCATGATGCTGGGAGACTTTAAACTGATTTTTGTAATAGCTGGAATTTGCCCCTTCCATCCCACCCCTCGAATTGTAGACACCAAACTTGCTGTACTAGATGACAGCACGTTTGTATCAGTTGGCTTGCTGTGTCTCTCATTGCTTGGGTATTGAAATGTTGAGCAATTGTACACATAGAAAAAATTCAGAACTGGAATCTTGAAGGTTACATCTGCCAAAGAGACAGTTTTCAAGATATTAAGTCTAAAAATGGCTCTAACCTCAACCATGTCCATTTAAAAGAAACATCTAAATAACTGTTTAAATAAGAAAGTTAAACCAGTAACTGTAAGGATATTCTTAATACTACTCAATTATAAATAACCCAAAATGATCCCACAGTAATTTAGGCTGTTACTCTCTGCTTGTGTGAGTTGAAACTAACAAGACCCCTTGAGTAACCTGGCGGGTATAGGTGAAATGAGGAAAGTTTAGTTAGGCACAGTCTCCCTCAGGAAGCTTGGGTTCTCATCTCACCACTGATCTAGCTGTCACCTAGTGGGGCAGGGAGTTGTTGGAGAACCTGGGTTCTTTTTCCCATTTTATTAATATCTCTATACTTTTGTCTTCTCAGCAAACATCGATGCTGTTTCTGGGACGGAGATCAAGGACCAAAAGTGACTTAAGTATGAAAATGTACGAGGAGGAGATACAGGTAGGAAACATTGAGTTGCAAACGTCCTCATAAGTTTCTGATTAGTAATGGACATTTTCCATTGGTTAGAATGTTTAATCATTCTTTAAATGTTGGGAGTCTGCCACCCAGAAGAACCAAACAGCCAGATGCTCTGCAGAATATATAGTATTTAAAGGGCATCTCACAATATTCATAACCTCTTACATTTATGTAGCCCCTTAAAGGCCAAAGTGCTTCACAAACTGGTGCATGCCACTGAAATGAAGTGCTCTCCAGGGTGAAACGCAACACATATTTACCAGTGCCATCAACACCACCTGGCAGTTCAGGGCAGGAGGTGAAAAATAAGGATTAGAAACACCTAAACTGTGTCTACACTACGCAGCTTACAGTGGCACAGCTGCTGGTGCAGATGCTCTAAACTGATGGGAGAGAGTTCTCTCATCGACTTAATTACTCCATTATGCAATTACTTAATTACCGCGAGTGGCAGGAGAAGCTCTCCCGCCAAAACAGCACTGTCTACACCGACGCTTAGGTCGGTATAATTTATGTCACTCGAGGGTGGCTTATTCACACCTCTGAGTGACACAAATTATACCAACGTAGGCTGTAGTGTAAACATAGACCTAGATTAACTGATTAAGCAGTTCCTGCTAATATTCTTCAACCATAGGAGGTCTCTGCTGCAAAGGACAGTTGTTTTCATGCTTCTATCTTTACCAATTTCTTTCTTGTCAGTTATTAGTCTTATTTACTCCATTGAATAGCACCGTGATAGGGTACCCTTGTCCATCTCAGATGGACAGACCATGGTCTTCATGGTTATGGAGGCTGAACTCCCCTCTTTACCCTGAGGTGCTCCTACCATGCCAATCCTGAGCATATTGGTGAAGAAACCCCCGCAGTCAGTCTGTTGAGCTGTGGGCATAGACTATTATACCACTTGAGCCAGTGGGGGTGGCATCATCCTTCCTTCTCTTGAGCCTGCCCTCCCCTGCCCAACCACTCCTGGGTCAGTTGGAGGGGGCTCACTAATGAGCAGTGCAAACTGTAGGTGCACTTCCCCCATTTTATTTCCTTGGAGGCTTAGTATGAAATCACCAGGGCTGACTGGAAAACAAGCATTCCATTTGATGAAAAATTAACAGTTTGAAATGGGTAACAAATGTTGATCTAAACAAAGACCTTTCAGAAACGAGAGAGCAAGAGACTGACCACGCGCTTCAAGCTAGCTAATAGCAGTGTGATTAGGGCATCTCCATGTTCAAGGTCCTACCCTGCCTGATTGAGCAGGGACTTGAACCTGGATCTCTCATGTCCCAGGTGAGTGCCCAAACCACCGGGCAACTAGCTGTTCCGAGGGTGTTTGGGCACTCACTCTCCCCAGTGGAAGTTTAGGCGAAACCAAAACATTTCCACAAAATTTTGGTTTCAACAAAAGCCTTTTGCTGAAAAGCTGGTGACTCGCTCTAAACATGAGGAGCCTTTTCAAACACTGGTAAGCTCATTAATACGTAGACCAAAGGAACTGATCAGGTCACTGGAACATCCCATGCTGTGCACCGAGAGGAGTGCACCAGAAAAATCCCTCTCTGGAGGGAAGGGGCCTTTAACTCCACAGGAATTTGTCATGACTAATTTGATGATGATGGATACCAAAGGAGTTAATCTCTGCATCTTTCTGGTGTCCCTTCTGTTGCTAGCAGTGGGATGACCTGTGGCTCCCACAATGTGTAACCCTGGAGCTATTCTTTAATGTTGGTCAGAATCTGCTGAGACTCTTAGTTTATAGCAAGTGAAATGACCAGTCTGTCCTTAGCAAATGAATCTTAAATGACTGCAAAGAAGGCATGTCACTGAAATATTAAACGTCCTCACCAGGATTTCCCAGTGCATCCTGCTGTAGCAAACTGCATATGAAGTGATGGGGTGATAGTTAATGCTTTGGACCCAGGAGCTGAGAGCTCAGTGCTTCCATCCTGCAAATGTTACAGCAATGCTCTAGTTAACCCTTTCCTGACAGCAGCTCCAGTTGTATCCAAACTTCACAGTGGAGGAAAAACAGATGTTTATAGAAGCCTGAAAAGAGACAACTAACTAAGCCCTCGCCATTTACTACTGCCAAAGCATCTGAGATGTATCGCACCCCTGGGTTCTCTTGTGTTTCACAGGGAAGGGGGAGAGGGTGGCTGTTCAGGACAACGAGAGGGGCATGGGGGAGAATAGAATGGTATGGTGAAGAGACTTCTCTCATTGGGTATGTTCTTCCCTCTGTTCAGGAGTGGTATGAAGAGCATTCCAGAAAAGAAGAATATCAGGGGCAAGAAGATGTCTTCCCATCCGGCAACCCCATGCCATCCTCGGGCCTCAGGCAGCGCTCACAGACAGTTATCTAGGCCAAGCTAATGCAAACCATCTTTCTATGCAATAACCCCATAGTATTATTTTATAATGTATATAGATATATTCAGTATATCAATCAAATTTGGAGTTTAAACATCTCTTCCCCTGGAACACATCATGAGTTGCTTTGAATAAATGAAAAGCAAAGACCCAGAGGACTCAAAATAGGACTGCTGGAACCAAAAAATAAATATATAACTCTTCAGCAAGACCCTATGCTGCAACTGTAACTAATGAGCATCTAGTACAGAATACTCAGTTGTTCTTCCTGGCCTATGCTTCCTCGACACGGGCCTACAACTAGTCTTACCAGTCGGAAACCATGGGTGAGGGATATTTAATCCTTTGGAAGAAGGAAATAATACTGAACCCACCTGCTAATATTGAAGTCCAGTACTTAAAATATATTTTCTTTAACCCATTAATTCTTAAGTAAAAGGATCAGGGGGCAAGTTTGTATTTCCCTCCCCATCTAGTATCCAGCAAGATGGGCTTGGATGAGAAGTTACCACTTTAATCTAAACCCATTCTGCCTCTTCCTAACTACCTAGGCTTATTGACGGTTCTAGAGACACTCCCAAGAGCGGTTTCATTCCTGAATAGCTCATTCAACCTCTTAAATCTGTTCTTTGGAGGAAGGCTGTTGGACTGAGCTCCAGTAATTCTGTGGATCCTTACTAAAAGTTATGAGACTTGACAGAGTTCGGGAGCAATGCCCTTGCTGAAGCGATCAGAGTTCAATACTGATGTCTGTGCTATGCAGTATCTGTGCTATGCAGGCTGGGAGCCATTTGACAAATCCCAAAACTCCGGCGATCTGATGATAGGTGAGATGCAAATTCCACAGGACGGTGATTCTGAGCCTTTGCCATTCAACCCTCCAGTTTATAAGCGGAAGATCTTTGCCTGGTATGAGAATGAGACGGGCTTCTGCAGCACAAGGTTGGTGACTGAGCTTCATGTGGGGCTGCATTGAGAAGTGCTGGGGAGGCATGTGCGCATATGCATGCACACCTCTGTGCAATCACCAACTGGGTAATGTCACCTTTGCTTTCCCAGTCAGGTTGACGTGACCTAGGGTGACCAGATGTCCCTATTTTATAGGGATGGTCCCGATTTTTGGGTCTTTTTTTTTTATATAGGCTCCTATTACCACCCACACCCTGTCCCGATTTTTCACATTTGCTGTTTGGTCACCCTAACATGACCACAAGGGAACTTTTCTCCTTGTTTGCCTTCTCTCTGGCAAAAACTTTGCCAGCTCTGGGAACCACTAATTTAGAAATCAGGACCAGTTTGGGAAGTTTTTCTAATGGCAGAACTGAACTTAGAGATGTGGAAAACAACTCTTCCATCCGCCTGCCCTTCTGTATCATACATAGAGGCAGCCTCTGTTCTCTGCTCTGTCACTAACCTGTTCTGTGACCATGGACAAGGTCACTTAATCTCTCAGTGCTTCTGTTTCCACACAATGGGAGGAACGAAGCTCGCTTGCATAAAGCACGCCAAGGTCTGTGGATGGAAAGTGCTAAGTATTATAAAAGCATGTAGTCACGGCACATGTGCATTGGCAGATCAAAGGAGAGGTTGCCATGGCATCTTACCTTTGAAATTTGCTGTCACCAATGGGTGTGCCCCTCTAAATGAAGGTGAGAGCTTTTGGGAATCCTGTTGGCAATCTGCACTCCAAAACTATTGCATAGGAGACTGCCTCCCTCCTAAACAGACAGCATTAATCCTAAGGTAATACCCCCTTGTCCTTGGAGTTATAGACCCACTGTGAAGGACCATATTGCACTAGAGAAGGGAAGGGAAAGAGTTTCTACAGCTGGCTGCACTGTTCATTTAGGAGCTGCTTTGTCATTCCCATTATGGCCTGTGGTGAGATTTTTCAAAAGCATCTTAGTCTTAAGAGCCCAGTTCCCGATGATTTAAGTCTCACATGCTTTTGACAGCCTCCCCCTTGATGGGAGTGGTTCAGAGAGGTCTGACTAAGTGAAGGAGATGGTAGTCACCATGCCTGCATCCACTGCATGCTACTTGTCCTCACTGCTGCATTATGGAATTCATCGGATACTCAGATGAAACTCTCTGCTTCCTTTTTGTGTGCAATGGGCTCCATAGTTATGACGTGACACCTGAGCCCTGCCGAGCTTCCCTCTTGAGAAATGGTGGCCATTTTCCAAATTGTGTATATCACATCCAGGACACTCCCTAATGAGCAGCACTGGAAAGAGCACATTTGTTGTTGCTTCTACGCATGGAATCCTAGCTCTGGTGTTTCACTCTACACTAATCTCTAGATGCTGCAAAAGCACAACTTCTATTAGTTGCTGGCAGGATGGAAAGCCCCAGGATTGTAAGGGTTTAAAACAAATGCAGCTGTTAGGGAAGTAAAAAAAGATGATTTTCAAAGCCATCATTCAGGCCTTTTTGCACTTCTGGGGGGCAGGGGGACTATATAAAGGGGGCATGAACCTGCAGAACATGGAGTGGAGTTTTCAAGAGAGCCCTCATGTGATGAAGGGTGCACAGGATTGCTGAAAGACTAAAAGTCCTACTCTGCCTTCTGTGGTTTTATTGCTGAGATTTTGATCTGGCCTGAAATATGCACTGTATTTTTTTTTAAACTGAGGTGGTTTGTAGAGGTTACTTTTTCCAAATGACTTAACAGTCACAAGGAAAAAAAAGTTCGAGTACGGGGAATCCCCTTCCAATTGTCCTCCCCATCCCTGTCTTAGACATTGACTTACCGTAACTACAAAGACAATCATTTTGTAGGGATAAGGGAGGAAACGCTGCAGGGTTTTGTATGCTTGTGGTTTGTTTATAAGTAACTTTATGGACATATCTGTACAACAGCATGTAGATTTTCTGGCACATTAATAAAAACATCCTCTGCTACATAGACAGCTGCCTCAGCTGCTCTTTCCTGTGTCTGTTTCAATAACCAGTTGGTTTGTGGGTGAGCTATTGTCAAACTGAGAGGATCCCTGTCCTCCTTAGATTGCAGTCACTAGGCCCCACTCTAAAAGCTGCCATAAACTTCTGCAGCGATACATTTGAAATGCGAAGTGACCCTAGGATTTTGTAAACTGGCTGCTCCCTTCCTCCAACCCATGAGAGTTGTCCCTTATGGTCTAGAGTGAAATTTTCAGAAGTGCCTAGATTCCATTTTTGTATGTGACTTAGGAGCCCACGTCTCACTGACTTTCAGTGTGATTTAAGATCTTAAGTGCCTGTCACTTTTGAAAATGGGCTTTTTCAAATATCACTTTTAGATGGTTTTTACATCTTGTGCAGATTTGGCACCTGAGAACAATCCCTTAGAATGTTGCAGTTCACTTTTCTGGGAATTTGAAGCTGCCACAACTCCAACCCTTAAGCAGGGTACTTTTATTCTTGTTCCCCACTATTTCCTCTCCCCCTCGTGCTGTCTCCACTCCTTGGGTTGCCTGTGTGTTGATGGATAAGTTTATTTCACCAGGCTTCTTGCCATCCCTGTTGCACAAGGCCCAGTGACTAACCCTTGTGGTCACTCAGTCCAAGCACAGTACTGACACAGGATTAAAGAAAGCCATGACAATGCAATTTCCTAGGAAACCAGAAGGATTGTTTTCTTCTTTAATGGCAAACTAATCCACACGAGTGACTGCTGTTCAGGGGCCCTTCACTACTGAAGGGAGACTATTGCTACTTCCCATCAGCACTAGAGCAAGTTAAATGTACTCACAGCACAGCTGGGTATGGTACAAGCTTCTGCCACAGCGCTGCTTCATTTGCCTTCCCTGTGTATGTCATTCCTGCTGCAGCCCCTGTAGTGATGTATTTCCCCACTGCTCCATGGATGGACAGATGAACTATAATAGCTCCTGTGAGCCCCAGTCATGGACCACGATCCCACTACGCTAGGCGCTGCACAAAGAGTCACTAGGCAGAGATCACTGAACATTTTATTTTGTAACCCTTCCATAAAGCATCTGAGCCTAACCTAGGTTTCCAGAGGCTAAAAGGGTACATCTCAAAGCCACTGGAGCACTGAGAAGTCTTTCAAAGCTGCACTGAAACAGTAATTTCACGGAGTCGCTTTATTGTGCCATGAACAATGATCACTTGTCCTGGGGGGAGGCTAAAAAACCTGCCCATAACCCCCCCTTTCTGTGCAGCTGCAAAATGCCTCTTAAGGCAGCAGGGATTTAAACTGATCCCCATTTAAAATGCAGTGCAAAGCCTTCCTTTGAAACCCATCTTTCTTTAATTAACAACCCCCCCATCCTCCATTCTAAATCTAAATAATCCCTTTCCTTAAAAAAATCAATTGGACGTTAATACTGGCAGTGGAGTCCCAGGAACGATGTCCCGGCAGCCCTGGGTTGAGCTCTCATTTGGCTGGGTAGCCCCTGGGCTAGAGGCTGTATAAACCAAGCAGCAATGTAGCCTCAACTCCTGCTGCACCAGTTTCCTTTCCTGGGGTGGCAGGGTCACGGGAACCTTAGCATACAGGATCCAAAGCACGCGCCCTCCAGGTGGGAAGTTCCAATTGTCCTAATGCCTTCAGCGTAGAGAAATGGCCATGTTTCCAGAGGTGTGTTCACCAGGAAGGGAGCTGTCTCCCTCACCTACCAGTGGCATGTCCTTCAGTGATTCACTGGGAATAGAACTGGCCCAGCCAGCGAATGTGGAAAGTCTCAAGCCAGTTGCTTGCCTGCATCTGGCTGTCGAACCATCACCTTTTGCCCCTTCACAATCAGCAGGTTGGTCCAAGCCCTGCAGGCTCGTCAACTCGCTCCCACCATTCTCGCCAGAGGTACTAAGAAACAAGATGGCGTCCGACAGCAATGCCGTCAGAGGGTGGTGAGCCGGATCACCTTGAACTCCGTCAGCAAAGCTACTGTGAGGAAGGCCAGGTAGTAGAGGAGGAGGCAGACACCGTACCCTCGGCCCAGCTGGAAGCACTGAGCTGGCACTAATATGAAGGAAAACACCAGGCTCAGCCCCAGTGCTCCAGCCAGAATCCAGACCAGAAGACCATCCAGCTCCAGCTGAGAAATGAAAGGCAAGAGTTAATTTTTAGTGCCACATGGTTACTTCAGGGGCCAGTACATCAATACAGTGCATCAGCACTCTGGGTTTCTATACCACCAGCTAACCTTGTAAAGCCAGGAGCCACCCGCCAGAAATAGGTGCCCTCATGAGACTCCAAGAACAGGGGTTCCCGAAGTAAATCCTAAAAGGGCCAGGATAATCCTTGTCTCCAATGAGGGGCCCACTGCTCTGACTCTAAATGTGGAAATGGTCTCTCCCTCCTCTCTCAGCTGTGTCTGCACCCACAGCTCCCCCATAAAGCAATGGGTGTTCACCCCAGTGTACGGCTACACGGGAAAATTCAGCGCGACCATTTCCCACCACTAGCTGAAGCTGTAGCATGGACACTGGTGGTGTGAAGCCAGTGCATCTGAGCAGGGGAGTAGAAACAAGGCAAGCCCGCTCCCGGCACACAGGGGAGCACGGAGTCCGAGAGAGCCAGCCCTACCTTTACCACCAGCTGGCCGCTTGTCGTCTGCAGCAGACAGCCCAGTCCCACTCCCACCAGCATGTCTGTGGCTAGGCTCAGGGGAAACCCCGCACAAAATGGAATTAGACACTAGGGGGCAAAAGTGGGCCCACAAACAGCTGGATTGTCTGGTGAGAAATGGGCCTGACCAGCCTAACCTGGCGAAGGAGGGAAGGAACAGACAGCTGAGCCCTGTCCGCACTGATTCCCTGGAGAAAGGGCTTGTTTCCCCACAGAGTCCTACAGGCCAGGGCCTGCAAATGGCTCAGAGGCCTGGCTACAGGCTGGCTGCACCCCAGCTCTCAGCTGTTACAATGATGGGGGACCCTACAACTGCTCAGTTCATCTCAGGTAGGAGTAAAAAGGGCACCTCTAGTGCTGAGTCCGGATGGCTCCTCCTGGGGTGCACAAGTTCCTCCCCTGGGCAAATGGGCTCTGCTGAGCCTGGGTTTTCCTTTCCTAGCCAGAATCCCTGATTGCAGAGGGGGCTGCCTCATGGAAGGCTGCGAACAAAAGCAGATGCTGAATGTGTATCTTTCAGCACAGCTAGGGGAAGCAGTGTGTAGACCCATAAACTGGGGAAGCCTAGGGTCTGGGTGCCAGGAACTCCTGGGGTCTAATCCTGCTCCTGGCACTAATTTGCCATGTGGCTTGGGCCAAGTCTGTCTCTCTCTCTCTCCCCTCCCCCCCCCCCCCCCCCGCCGTTTTTCCATCTCTGCAGTATGTCCACTGCTGCCTACTGGCCATGGGTACTGCGAGGGTTAACAGTCTGTGTGAAAACCGGAAATTCTAAGTCCAACTTAATCTGTGATTTACGATTGGCTCGGTTTGTGACTGTTGGGCAGGGATGGCAGGTGCGTCATTGCACTAAAAATCAAAGCTCAGCCCATGCTAACACCAGGCAGAGTTCATGTAAGTTTCCTCGGCACAGTTCTGCCAACATGCCTCAATCGTACATCCCCAAGGCTCCTTCCTAACCTAGTCTTCACTGGAAACAAAGCTCGTGCATCTAGCCGCCCTACCCACAATCACACCTCCTGTGAGGGGTCCTGGACCAAGTGCAGTTGCGTGGGACTTCTATACATGTCAGCATGCAGAGCTACAAACTCCTAGGAGATGAGCGTGGGGTCTGCACCAGTCCGTGATCCTGACCCCTGTAGCTACAGAACTAGATGGAAAAGAAACAGGGAGTTGTAAACTGTTGTGCAGAGGAAAATCCCTGGGTACAAGTTTAATAACACCTAGCTTTTATCAGCTCTCAAAGCGCTTTGCAAAGGAGGTCAGTATTGTTATCCCTGTTTTACAGATGGGGAAATAGAGGCACAGAGACTTGCCCAAAGTCACCCAGCAGGTCAGTGACAGCTGTGGACAGAACCCAGGATTCCTGAGGCCCAGTCCAGAGTTCTATCCACTAGGCCATTCTGCCTGATTTAGCAATTGCCCAAAGGAGCTCAAGCTTGAAAGGATACTGAAGATGATCCCCCCAAAGCAAGCGGAGAAGGCCATGCGGGGGTATCCGTGCCGTGCCATGGTGAGGTCCGAGAAAGTGTCTGCAATGGAAGAACAACGAACATTGTCTGCATGCCCCAGTGTTGCAGATGGCAACCTCTAAGCTCATGAGACCCAGTGCGAGGAAGGCTCAATCTCTAGAGGTGGGCTTCTCCTGAGGTGTCCCTAAGTGGGATTTGGATGTGGCATAGATGTTTTTGTGGTTAAGGACTGACCCTCCTCAGTTATGCACTTCCCAGCCATGAGGGTGGGTGTGTATCCAAACATGCATTGGCAAAGTCCTGGGGGAGATGAAGCTCTCACCTCCTGGTTTAGATGCAGGTTGCACCAGCAAACCCTGACTCTCGTGCCTGAATTGACGCAACCTGCTGGGAATGGAGCCCTAGCACCTCCGTGGAGACAAGCAGAGGACACAGGCTAACAACTAAATGATCTGCAGCACTGAAAGCTGCTTCCCTGCCATAACCTCCTGCTGGAAATGCCACCATGTAGCTACCGCCATCAAGAGCAGCGAGATCAATACAATGGCAAAGTCCTGGATCTCCCAATACATGGTAGCCTTCATACACTGCAGCACAATATGCACTACGGGGAACCGGTTGCATGCTACAGCTGTGGTTAAACAAGATTGAAAGGGCGGGAGTAACCCTAGAGTGGGGAGTGTGGCAATGAAGCCTTCCTACCTTAAACACAAGTGACCCCTCTCCTCCTGAACTGGAGCTAGGCTGTAGGGGGCAGGGCTGAAGGGGACGCCACGTGTGTGCAAATCAGCTGGCGGCTGCTCTTGGTGTAACGGTGGCAATGGAAGCCACAAAAATATTGCCACTGGGAGGCATGAATTCCAGGC